TGCCATTACATCCTTTTCTTCCACAATACCATACTATCATCATGTCACTTGAGGCTATTGATATTGCTCTATTGGATCAAGTTTTTAGTACTATGGGGAATGCTCATACTTATGTTGTGTGCATCTTTAATATGTTGCTATTACCAATTTCTATAAGATATAATTACATAGTGTTTCTTGTTCTTGGTGTCCTACTATCCCCCATTGATGTGAAATATAATTGTGACATTAATTAGAGAGTTAGAGTCTAGTTTTTAAATCAAGGATCAAGCTTATAAGAATATGATCTATACAAGTTCAAGTGAATTTTTGATATTGACAAGAAAATCAATTGTTTTGGAGATAATTATAAAGATAAATCATACATTCTATAAGATAGGTGTTAATCTTTCAATATGCATTTTGATCCTTTCTTTTTACTTTATACTTATTCTCAAGTTTTTCTTATTTTCTAACTTTTGCCACGTCTTTAGACTTTTAGTGTTTTTTTCTAATCCTTCTCTTGGCACGTCAATTATTTGTGACTCATATGATTCTCATTTTTTATCTAGTATTGAATTGAGTGTTTTCTATCTTCATACTAATCTAGATATTGAGTATGTGCATGAAGTGGAAAATCTTTTTTTTATTTTATTTACAAAGTCTTTAATTAGTTTCTATGTTCCAAGGGTTGAGTCATTTTTGTTATAAGTTTGATTGAATTTGTTTCACTAGTTATGAGTGCCATTAAGAGTATTTGCCTAACTATTATTACTAAGAAATTCTTTCATTCTCTTAAGAGTTGGAATTCTCCTTTAATTTTCTTATCTCAAGTGTATTAAAAAGGTTGTTTCTTACTTATTTAGTTTTGGCTCATACATTTTATAATAGGATATCTTTTATTATCTAGCATTTTTGTTTCTGGAGTCTCTTCTAAAAAGAGGTCCCTTATTATCCAAGTTTTGAATATATATATATTTTTTATTTCCTTATTTCTTCCTTGAAAATTGCTAAAAAATCTACTTTTAATACTTCTTTATCCACTCTTTTTTCTTCTATTATGTTTCTTTCTCAATTTTTCTCACTTTTTCCTTTTTGCCTCAATGCTTTAACTATTTTTCTTTTTTGGAGGAGGAGGTAAAAAAGATGGATGGGAAGTTAACCCTAATGATGAAATGAGGATGAGCAAATATAATAGTGGAGCAAAGATAAATTACATAAATTATGGAATGAAGATGGGTATAAAGAGGTTGAACAGAATATTTAACCTCAATATAATAACGCTAAATAAATGTGATATTGAAGTGAGGCTAAACAAAGATGGTAGAGTGAGGATAAATGCAATAAATCTAAATAGAGTTAATGCTTTAAAACTATTTTTTCTTTAAGAAGGGGGGATAAGGAGGATGTGGAGAAAAAAAAACTAAGTTTAACCTCTTATAAATAGTATTGGATGAGCATAAAGGTCATCAATCTAAATTAATATAATAGTGTAATCAATCAAAGACGATCCATTGGGGTTTAAATATAGAAGAATGCACCCATTAAAGATTTTAAGGTATTTGTGTTTTTGGGTTTAAGTAGTACTGGGCTAGGTCATATCCCAAGAAGTCTAAATTCAAAAGTTTACAAGTGAGAAAATATATAAATAAAAGTTTGCTATAATGACATTTTATGGATTATAATGGTCCAAATTGAAACTAATTTAACGGCTACTAAAATCCCACTATGCTAATATTAATATATGGCATCGTAATTGTATACTTAGACCTCACATCATTCCCTCCTCTCGGAATAATGGAAGGCTATCAGGGTTCTTTTGTAAATGGGCCGGGATCTAGAGGAACATCAAAAGGAGGTATTAGTGGATCTATAGATGGTATCAATTGTTCTTGATCCCTTTGTACAAATTGTTTCAACCGTTGCACATGCATAATTTTTAGGGGATCGGTTTGCTAGACATCATGTTGAACCTCATGAACTTGTGGTCCAACTTGCCACAACACCCGATACAGTCCTTTCCACTGAGCAAAGAGCTTTTTAAATAAATCACATACTGTAAGATGGGAAAAATAGACTAACACCAAATAATCCACTTTGTACTCCACAGGTGGATGATAATGGGAGTTGTACCATTGTTGGTGTCCCACTTATACATGACCTAGATGTTTAGCAGACTTTGCTCAGACAAGTGAAAAAATGCTTGTCAAATATTAATCCCATAACTTAGCATCAGCAGCTCATGGCAATCACAAAAGTAAACCCAACTCCGTTGATAATATTGGATCATAACCATATAGGAGTTTATATGGTGAAGCACCAATAGAACTCTACACCCCTATGACATATGCATACTGAACAGATGGCAAATAACCATCCATTCCGAATGTTGAAAGTTTACGTACTTTGCAATCATCTTTTTGAAGGTCCAAATGAGCTATTTCATTAAATCATTTAACTGTGGATGATAAACACTTGTGAAAGTATCCCCAACCAAGATGTCAAAACATGAAATGCCTCAACTATAAATATGGGACCATTATCCAAAAGAATCTAGTTTGGATAAAAATGCTAGAACACTATTCGATTGAAAAGGAAGTATCTAACAGCAATTGCAAAGGCACTAGTAAGAGCACCAACTTTCACTCAGTAAGTCAAGTAGTCAGAAGCAATAATAACATACTCATTGCCAATAGTTAATCATGGAAAAGGTCCCATTAGATCAAACACCACCAACTTAAATGAACGGGAAATTACAATTGACTCCAACTGTCCTTCTGTAGCATGAGGGGGAGTGTTATAAGTTTGGCACTAAACACAACTACGCACATACTAAATAACATCACGTTGCATCTCCGGCCAATAAAAAGACTTATGTAGATTCTCAGTCATATGATGATATTCTATATGCCCACTTAGAATAAGAGAATCATGGTAGGCATGGAAAAATCGTAAAATAAAGATTGAAGGCACCACTATCCATAAATGATCATTAAGATCTGTTCCTACAAAATAAAGAAAGTTGTCTTCAAGGTGATATTGAGAATTTAAATGTTAAAATGACAGGTTATTATACAGGATTCTCAAACCCATCTCGAAACTTTTGAATCCATAGCTCAATCTTTTGAGCCTTGAAAACCTCAACAAAAGAAAGTAAATCTTGCTCTACACTTTGTGGATACTGAACGTCAAGTATAGAAACCATCAAGAGCAAAAAATCCTCGTCTAGAAAAGATATAGATGCTGGAACAATAGGCTTGTCAGAAACATGAGAAGAGAGCAAAGAAGAAAAGCTCAAGAAAAGGCATTAACATCAGTTATAAAATTTCCCGAGTAATGAATAACATCAAAATCATATATCTGAAGTTTCAAAACCCACCAACCAATACGATCAACTAAGTTCTTCCTCTTCAATAATGAAGTAACGGCAGCATGATCACCTTTTAGTAACATTCGAGAATCATATAGATATGCATGAAGTTTCTTGAAACCCTAAATTGCTACTAAACACTTCTTCTCTATTGTGGAGTAGTTCACGTCCATTAGTTGTAATGTACAGCTGATGTATGTAATAGGATGGCACTGACCAGGAACACTTGAGCTCTCTTTCATCAACACACCTCTAAAACCAATATCAAAAATATCCACGTGCAAAATGAAAGGTTGAGTGTAGTTAGGATATGCCAAATCTAAAGGGGTTGTCAATAACTCTTTGAGATCCATGAATGCCCGCTCCAATCTGTAAACCGAATAAAAGATGATATTGATGACGTTAGCAAAGCTTGCAATGGTGCAATGCAATCAAAAAAATGATTTATAAAATGACTAAAATATTGCATTTTGCCTAGAAAGCATTGCACATTATTCACACACTTTAAAGTAAGAAACTTTAAAACAACCACAAGTTTGTCAGAATCAACTTGCAAACCCTCATGAGAAATATGGTATCCAAGATAAATCATGTTCTTGGACCCAAACACACACTTTGACTACTTCAATTTTAAACCAATATAACACTTTACGAATATTATAGACATGTTCTTCCCAGATCCCTTCCAATTGAATCAAGACTCATCAATAAAGTCAGTAATTACCTTCGGCATATCACAAAGAACCTTGTCCATCATCCACTGGAAAGTTGCTAAAGCATTGTTTCAACTAAATGGCATCACAAAGAACTTGTACAAACCAAATGGTGTATAAAAAGTAGTCTTAGGAATTTCTTCTTCGGCTATTAGTATTTGTTAGTACCCAAAAGCAAAATCGAACTTGATGAACCAATGACTTCTCCCCAAACGATCCAAGCAATTAACAATGTGAGGAAGAGGGTATGCATTTGGGATTGTCACTTCATTTAATGAATGATAGTAAATGCAAAGGCAAATACTTTTATCAGGCTTCATCAGAAGATAAGGTTCACATGCCCAAAGACTTCACGACTTTTGAATAACACCCTTTTTAAAATGTTTGCATGTAAAATATTGATCTCTTTGGGTGACCGACGATGAATAAAAACCTTGATTGGACAAGCATCCCCAGTTGAAATTGGATAACGTGTGGCAATCTTGGCCCTAGACGATAGGTCAAATTTAAAGAGATTGGCATACTCCTTCATAAGCCAGTCAACCACTACAACACAAAGACCGTCAAAGGGATCCAAAAAGAAAAGAGCGGAATAAGATAGAAACATAGAAGGAAACAATAGAGAGATAAAAGTAATAAAAGCAAAGGTAGAAGTAAAGGGATGAAAAAGTATAGAAGTGAAAGGAATGAATGAAATATAAAAAAGTATGAAACAAAAGGGATAAGCTTTAAAGTCACATTTGGCATGATTACATTGTAACCAATCTATACCAAGGATGAAGTTAAAAATTTAATTTGACACCACCTTGAATTAGTATTCACCCAACCAAGTTGAATGTGTTGAAGTTGTGGAGATGTATGCTGTCAAGGTTTATGTCTAAATAATTAATAGCGTCCCAAGTGAAAAATGCCAAGTAGACTTTTATTATATCCGGACATTAAGCCTTGTAGTTAACCTGTCGAAGCAAGTCTTCCAACCAGAATGACAGCTGATAGTCTTGGATAGCACACAATTGTCCATCACCAAATCGCCCCTCAAACAAGTCCTTCATGCTCATCATGCTGATGAGCAGAAAGCCCTGAACGTTATACATCGTGCCATCGTCTTTCATACGTTTGATGGTGTGGTACAGCTTGTCCAGGCAACATCAGGCTGGACGTAGTAAAAGTACCTGTGCTAGCAGATGGCGTGACAAAAGTCCACTGGCGCATTCCTTTAAACAAGACTTTATGTAAGCTTTTATATAGCACCAGTTTTACACCATTGGCAAACTGCCTTAGTGACAGCAATAACAAGTGCTGCCACCCAGAAAATCACCACAACCACGTTAGCTATGGCCTCGTAAAACATGGCTGACCAGTGCCACTTTGGGAGATGGTCTCCCTCCACGAAATGTGGAACCTTTTCCCTGTAGTGAAGCAGCCCCTTGCGCTGCCCAGGCTTGTAGCTGGGCGGACACAAAATGTACACAATTGGTACAAGCATGTGTGTCCAAGTTGAAAGAAGAAAGAAGGACATTGCGATCACGTAAAAATCATGGCTGCAATTTCGGCCTCTTTGCTTCGCTACCCAGGAAATTCTGTAGGCCACCACTGCCAAGACCAGGAGTATATAGATGATGTGAACCTTTACATGTTTGAGCTTGACAAGGAAAATTTTGATCAAGGCTGGCTGCTTGGTGAGCTTGGCCTGTGCTGCAACTCGATCGATGCTGCTTGTTGGAGTGAATGTGAAAGTGGAAGAGTACGAAAAGATGGACTTATATATGGTTTGGAGGAAGAAGGGTGTCATCCACCAGAAATGTGACTCGTCCCGGTTACGACTCCGGATGGATTGTGGAAGACTGAGCCAGACTGACATCCAAGAAAGGCGCCAGAAAATGAGGAAGATGGCGAGCTGTATGATAACACGCCACGCCTCATGGGAGGTGCCGATCATGAGGTCCAAGTGAAGTGCAAGACAAACGATGAAGAGGAGAAGCATAACAAGGTTGACGATTGCGATGAAGTAGTATCCCGTGTGCCAGAAGAAACTCACTTTGAGAACCAAGGAGAGTTTGCTCTTTGGCCCAAGCATCTCTCTCCATGTCGCAGAGAATTGTTGTATAGCTCCCTGGCACCACCGCTGCCGCTGCTTGATATATCCTTCAAACGTCCACGGTATAAGACCAATCTAACAATCAAAGGTGGAGTCAACAAAAGTCACCGTGTTTTGAGCAACAGCAGACCTGAAGGTTGCGGTTGAGGTAGACGGACTTGAAGCCCTGGTTGAAGAGCTTGAATGCGGTCGTGGTGTCTTCTGTGATTGACATTGGCTGGAAGCCTCCAATCTCGTCCAGATGTTTCCTTCGGAAGATTGCTCCAGTTCCAACGCACGGTGCGGCCCCAAATGTGTCCCTGTGAATCATGAGACGCTCGTAGCAAAATCCGCAAGCATCGTTTAGAGGATCTCCCACCGGAAGGTTGTAAAACGACTGAGGTATCTGTACGAATGACACTTTGGGGTCTTTCACGATATGAGGAAGTAAAGTCTTCAGGAACGATGGGTGAAGTATCATGTCTGCGTCCATCATCACCACGAACTCTGCGTCCGAATGCTCCAGGCCGTAGTTAAGGTTACCGCATTTGAAGTTGTGTGGAACTCCTGGAATCTGTAACAAATGGTCATGTAAAAAGAACTGTTAGAAAAGTTAAAAGCTGACCTTTACTCGACGAAGATATCGGACCGAAGCACTCGGAGGCTCGACATGCTCCAATACCTCACAGTATTGTTTCAGCTGATCGTCCCCTCCATCATCCAGGACCAAAACTCGAAACTGGTGCTTGGGATAATCCATAGCCAGGGCAGCCTGAATCGAATCCTCTGGAACGTCAGTGGGCTCTTTGCAGCAGGGAAGAAATATGTCAACCGTCGGAAGATCTTCCCAATTCAACGACAAACTCTGACGGGGCCTCCATATTCGAGGTGGTAACACCAGATCCACAGCTCCAATAACGCTATTCAGAAAGTATATCACCTCGCAGATCGTCAGAATTATCAGCCACGGCCTTCTCACAAACTCGCCGGGATGCTTGGAGTAGACATAGAACCTGTAACCGAGGTAATTCACAAATGTAGCCATGTGTGCTGAGACAAGGAGGCAAATGATTGTGTGCCAGATTAGCTTTCCCCATGGAGATGCTTGAGGAGCGGCTGACAAAGAAGTGGATGATGAAGGAGAACTGGACGGAGAAGAAGAAGAAGAAGAAGATTCATGGGGAGCATTAGAGTCACTTTGGTCGCTAAGATTATCACTTGGCTGCTGCTGCAACTCAAGATCCTGCACACTAGACATGATGCTGTGGGAGGAGGAATCTGGAACTTCTTACATATGCATGTTTGATGGGGTTATTATATGACGTGCCATGTCCGTCCAGCTGTCTATGTGCATTTTGGTTCAGCAATCATTCTGTAGATCATGGCGGCTTGTGGACAGAATCAATACCAATCTATCTTAGAAAACATTGCGAATCTTTTGATTTCGACCAAGCACGCGACGTGAATAGCTGAACATGACGAACGATCTGACCGACGAATCACGCCGGCGAACCTTGACAGGCCAGCTACTTCTTTTACGTGACCAAAGGTGTACAATGGTCTGTTTTAATGTTAAATCAGATGTGTATTCGGAATGTAGTACCGTATAAACCTTGTTTACTTGTTGACATACTTTTGAGAAGCGTCCAATTGAGCCTCTCGACTCGCAGTTACTCCCAAAGTTGATGCGCCGGGCAGACACTTCAATGCTGCTCCTCCCAGAGAAAATTGTCACGGCCACCTCGGGGTCAGTGTCGAGATGTAGATCCTCGTCAATGTCGAAGCTATAGTGATTGAGCTTCTCACAACCTGTTTAGGTGGTGTAGCTGAACAAGTAATCTCTATCGCCTATATACCGGGAAGAACGAGTGCGTTACCAACTGATCCTCCGTCACTGGCTCGTCCTTCTTGACAAACACCTTGAAGAAAACATTTTGATACCTCTCGATCTCAAAGAAGTCCAAGAACTTGTACTCTGGTGGATCGACGTCCCAGCGAAAGATATGGCTTGTGGAGATACCGTAAGACTTTCTGGAGATTCTCGAGAGCACAACGCCTGTTCCAGTGCCGAGAGCCACGGCACCTCGGCAGATCGCAGCGGTGGGATTAAAAGGACAATGCACAGCTTCCACTGCTTCTTCGAATTGCACCTTGATCCTTTTCACCACGTACGGACTCTCGGAGAAGCCTCCAACCAGATATATGTACTTGATACCGTCAACTTTGTCAAAATTCTCCTCGATTAGCTGGATGGTTTTGTTGATTTCTGTGTCAAAGATTGCGCACATCTCCTCGCAGTCAATCTCAATCTCATGGTAGCACTCATCATCTCTCTGGAGCAAATCCCAGTTTCCTGTATCAAACTCCCTGTCATGCTCTTTCCATGCCTTCGGCAGCTTTGGTGGAACTTTCATGAATTTGGACAAACGTGCACTTGCCCTTGGGTCCGAGCCACCAGCTCAGGATCCTGTGGACCACATCCGGTTCCTGCTGCTTGAAAGTGTTGAAGCATCCAATCTTCTTGGTGAGAAACTCCAGAAAGTTAGAGTCGACGTAAGTACCACCTCCAAGTGCTCCGGAGCTAGCACGAGCCTCATGGACCCTGTGGGTGATGCAATTCTCCTTCTTGTGCACAACAATATCAATAGTTCAATGTCCGCCACCAAGAACTTGTCCCCTCGAGAAAGGGAGACACTACCACAGTAGAATGACGTCACCTCCAGCTCCAAGATGATCCTCGGAGGGTAAACAGTTCACAAAAGTTACCTCTCATAAGCTCAGCCTTCTTGGTGATAAAAGTTTGCATTTTTTTTGTTGTTCTAATGAAGTCTTCAGATTCCAGAGAATATTCGAAAGAAGGGGAAGCGAGAGGAAAATAGTGGAGCTTAGTGTGAGCCAGAGATGGAACACAGTATAGAGTTGATGTGGTGATGTGGTGTATTCAAGTGTGGTGATGTGCAGAGAAAATGAGGCTATTTGAAGTGTGACTACATTGTGGGCAAGGGGTTTTGCTATTAGTTGAAGTCTTGGCTGAATTGTTGAAGGAATAGAAACTTTTGTTCCTAGTACTTCCTACACAGCTCTTGGAGTATGAGTTCAGGTTCTAGTTGGACTTGTAACTGTCTTACGTTGCAAATCCACTCTTGCCCACAATGTGGGGCACACTGTACTCACTGGCTACTGACCAGATAGCCTCGCTTGCTCCCCACGTTGCCACACTCGAGTATGCCACATCACCGTAGTATGAGCTCCAGGCTAGTCGGTGAAAAGATGGACATCCTGTGGATCGGAGCTATGCACGGTAAAGGAGATTGCAGAAGCCATAACTAGCTAGCTTAAACAAAACCCTATGCTCGAGGTACGCTCGATATTCTCGGGATATGGCCTTAGGTTTAGTCAGATCTTTCTACTAAGACAAAAAACACGGAGAAGAACTTGACACTCGCTAGACTCTACTTGTTGACATAAGTTTGAGCCGCATCAAATTCCACCGAGTAGAGCCTCTCAAGCCCACGGTTCATCCCAAAGTTGACGCGCTGTGCAGACACCTCGATGTTGCTCCGTCCAAAGTACATTGTCACGGCCACCTGGCGACTCGTCCCCAGCTCTAGATCCTCATTTATGTCCATGCTGTAGCTGTCGAGCATCCTTTGTCGATCGTGTACTCTGGAATATTGCTGCTGCTCGAGATGAGTAAGTCGATCCTCAAGGCTTTCTGGTCAGTGTATATGGGAAAGAACGAGTGCGTGATCTCCTGGTTCTCCGAGACTGACTCGTCCTTCTTGACGTAGAGGCTAAAGACGCTGCATCTCTCGATTCCATAGTTGTCGATAGACTTGGATGCTGGTGGATCGTCCTACCGTGCATAGCGACTCGTCGCAATGCCATAAAGAGTTTTTGGAGATCCTGGAGAGAACCACGCCTGTTCCAACTCCAAGAGCCACTGCGCCCCGGCACACTGCGGAACCGGGATTCGGGGGCGAGACCAAGTCTTCGAACCTGATCCTGTTGAACAGGTAGCGACTCTCGGAGAAGCCTCCCACCAGAAGGATGTACTTGACGTTGTCAACTTTGCGAAGTTTCTCGTCGATCAGCTTGATGGTCTTGTCGGCTTCGGTGTCAAAGATCGCCTTCATCTGCTCACACCTGATCTCGATCTCGTCGTAGTAGTCACTGCTCTCTGGGAATCCCAGCTCCGCCTTGTCGTGCTTCTTCCATGCCTTGGACAACTTTGCAGGGATTTCCAAAAACTTGGAGCCGCTTCCGTCGAACGTGCACTTGCCCTTGGGTCCGAGCCACCAGCTCAAGATCCTGTGCACCACATCCGGCTCCTGCTGCTTGAAAGTGTCGAAGCAGCCGATCTTCTTCCTGAGAAACTCCAGAAAGTTGGAGTCGACGTAAGTCCCACCTCCAAGTGCACCGGAGCTAGCACAAGCTTCATGGACCTTGTGAATGATCCAATCCTGCGCGCTCTCCTTCTCATGCACGATGATATCAATGATTCCACCGACATCCGCCACTAGGAACTTCTCGAGAACACCTCGGAGCTGCCTATGGCACGAAAAAGAAGCTGCCTCCGGCTCCAGGATGATCCTCAGGGGATAGATGCTCGCATCGGGGACGCTGCAAAACTTACCCGCGACTTGCTGGAGCCGAGCAAGCTAATGCCCATGATGATATCGCTCTTGTTTAGAGGAACGAAGGTGCGTGTGACGGCCTCCCTCTCCGACACTGTATCGTTCTTGGCACCACGATTGGCCCTCTCAGCATAGACTTGCATGCTGCCCTTGGCCTGGTCGCTCCAAATCGCCGGGACTGTAAGACACCACTGCACGTCCACTGCAGATGGTGGATGATAAATTGGAAAATAGATCTCACGTAATCCACGACCAGCCTCTCCTCCTCCTCGCTTCCTTCTTCGGCGCAGCAGCTTGGAACCCGTCTCAAACACACTAACCTTTTGCTCGATCTCCTCCTGTGCAGGGGGAGTGAGGTCTTCTTTGAGCCAAGCCACCCTTCGAAGCCGCTACAAAGCACAATCCACAAGCTTGAAAGATCCTTGCTCCCCTGGAACATAGAAGAGGGTCTTGCCAGGCCAGTCAATGAAGAGAACCAAAACCAGCGCAAGTTGTTCCAAAATCTAGACTAAACTCGATCCTTTGGAAGATTTATATAAGCGCTATACAAAATCCTACCAGTTGTGATGCTGCGCGAGCTTCGCCTGTAGCTCGGCCTCGGGGATGAGTCGCTTGCCAGCCTTCCATCGTCCCCTCCACCATTCCACAAGCTCCGCCTAGAGACCAAGCTTATCGATCGATCCATCCATGGAACTTTCTCTTACCTCTGTGAAGGAGTGATTCGAGACGTACTGACTGTCCACTGTGCACTCCATGTCTCCAAGATCCACGGAGACGGACATGTTCTTGTCGTCACCACCTAGCTTCCGGATGGCTCCTGTTTATTTGGGGAGACCTTTACAAACTTCGGTGAAACGTTGCGAGAGCTTTAGTACCTCGTATTCGTGCCATCCTGTAGCCGGTTCCACCAAGATCTTTCTCCCATCTTCCAAACCTTAGCCGCAAGAAGAACCCTCGCACATTTGTGTTGAAGTCTGGAGAATCCATCCATCTACACCCGAGAGATCTATGTTAGAAAGCAAGACATAGACGTGTTTGAGAGACAGCACTACCTCCATAGCTCGGACCTTGACAGCCTCACGGACTCGATAGCAGCAAGCATGTCTTTGGGAACGCTGGGAAGTGTTTCACTGGTTTGCGGAGCTGCTGCTTTCTTAGCCGGAGTTCCAGTCCTTTGGAGGCCAACTTTCTTGTGAGTGTTGCCCTTGGGACTCTCCTCGTTCTTTCTTTGATCTTTGGCTCTCGCAACCTTGTGATCGGGCTCGTGAAGCAGAGCTATAGACAAGTTACCCGATTGTGGAACGAGGCTGGTGCTTTGAGTCCATACAACCGGAGGAATGCTGGCAGCGGGAATAGCTTTTGCGTGATCCACGAGCACAAGACTTGGATTCGCAGGTACTGTTACGCTGGTCACGGATGGCTTGAGACGTTGCTAGAGTTCCTCCTCATGAATCTCCAGTTCCTCATCTCACTGTTCTCTCGAGCTCGAGACGCCACCTCGGTGACCGAGAATCGACACTGAGCTCCCAAGTGTCCATCCCCAAGCACCTCAAGCAAGGGAAGTCAAGGACCTCGCTACTCATGTCCTCGAGAATGAGCGCTCGCCTCTCCAGCTCTTTAAGTTCGCACTCGAGCGTCTCGGAGCAATCCATGACCGAATGGCCCTTGAGTCCGCAAAAGCTGCATGACCTTGACGCGCTTGAGATGGCCTCCTTGTCCTTGGGCTTGAGGCTTGCGTTCACCCAGTTCTTGACCGTCGCCATGCTCGCTACGAACTCAGCCATGCCTTGCGAGCACTCGGGATCACCCGATCCATCCAAAGCTGCTGCTAAGTTGCGAGCCTTGCTATGGTTACCTGTGGATGATCTTTGGAGCTTGGAACTCTTCTCTTGCTGCCCCTGAGATGGTATGAGACATGAAGCGGCTTGCCACATACCAAAGGATGCCTCCTCGCCACCACCAGACTTGGACTTGGAAGTGTCTTGCTGCTCTTGCTTGAGATGCTGCTCCTCCTGGGAAGCATGAGTGTGATCTTCCAGGAGATCTTGAGCTTGAGCTGGAGCTTGAGCTTGGTCTTGATCTTGATCTTGTTTGAGAAGTTGATGCTGTTGTTGTGCCAAAGATTTGGATGCATGCTCTTTGGTTCTTTTGTTGTCCAAATGCTATTTATGGAAAGTGTTTAGATTCACTCATTTGGCATATCTATAGAATGTAGAGATTAGCCCGAACACAATGATGTTTATTCCATGTCCAAATTCACAATCTAAGGACATTCCATATTTAGTAAGTTTTGAGCTTGTTCCTGGTACTAAAGGAGGCTTAGGGTGAAAGCCCAAAATGTGTGTTCCTTAAGGGGGGGCGGGGGATGGGGCTATAGGGGGTTTCAAATATATAGTAGGGATAGTGGTTGAAATGCATATCCGACCACTTGAAACATTAGTTTGGCTCTTGCTGGGCTGTGTTGTTCTTGTAACCGATTAATTTTTCCATTCTACTTTAGTCACTTAACCACAACTCCGACCACTTGGAGGAGTCTCATTCACAACCTCCATAAGTCCCATTTCAGGACTTGGGACTTGTTAGCCCCAAGAATGGCATCCATGCCACTCAACCCTTGCACCTGGTCCAAGTGCTCCACGTGTCCGATCCCATGACCGACACTCAAAGGTACCACCAACATAGTAGCCTGTTACGCTAAGGCCATGCCTAATCACCTTTGCCGCACTGGTAGTCCAATACCACTTGCAACACAATCTTGTCTCTCCAAGACTGGGCTAACCATCCGTGAGTGGTCATCCTAGATCCACTCCTTAGCATCCTTAGGATGCCCACCGACAAGGGGAACAGCCTTCCCCAATATCCCTCTGTCAGTCCCCACTAAGTCTCTTTTTGCCCTTGGCTGTGTTTGCCAACATTGCCACTAGATCAAGGCCCACAGGCCTGACCACTAAGTCCCATGGTCCTCTGGGACTTCCTCACCACGTGACCGTATCCTTGGCCACCACACCAAAGGACTGGTCCTTTTCCTTTCCACAGTCTGGGACTTGGGAATAACACTTCGGAACACTATGGCCTTACGCGAGCCACCTGGGTACTCTCCCCGCCTTTTGCCTTTGGGTGCTTTAGCCATGGGCTTAGAGCGAGGTTCCATTGAGCCACGCCTGGTATCCAAGTAGGTAGTGCCACCCACACTTGGACTGGAAGCATCGACCAGTTGATCTCCCGAGGGAACTAGAGCCGGCTCTTGAACACTTCACCAAGCTACCCCGCTTGTCGGTCTGTGTTCACTTTAGTCTTGGACTTCCCAGTGGGCAGCTCATTACCCAACACTGGGTACAGCCTTCCTGGGCCAAACTGGCCTTTCCTGGCCAAACTGGCTTCACTGTAGTCCTCCCCCTTACTATACTTTTGGAGCTCACTAAACCCCCCAGGGTCTGGGAGATGAACGCTTTGGGCTTTCACCCTCTTAGACTCGAACTTGGACTCGGACTTGGAGTCGGACTCGGAGTCGGACTCGGACTCGGATTCAGACTCGGACTCGGACTCGGACTCGGACTCGGACTCGGACTCGGACTCGGACTCAGACTCGGACTCGGGCTCGGTCTCGGCCTCCGCCTCGGTCTCGGTCCCGGTCCCGGTCTCGGTCTCGGTCTCGGTCTTGGTCCCGGTCTCAGTCTTGACCCGGACTCCATCTCGGGTCCTTCTCGGACTCCATCTTGGATTCCATCTCGGGTCCATCTCGGACTCCATCTCAGACTCCGTCTCGGTCCATCTCGGACTCCATCTCGGACTCCGTCTCGGTCCATCTTGGACTCCATCTCGGACTCCACTTCGGACTTCATCTCGGACTCCATCTCGGACCCCACCTCGGACTCCATCTCGGACTCCTTCTCGGTCCATCTCGGACTCCATCTCGGACTCCACCTCGGACTCCACCTCGGACTCCATCTCAGACTCCATCTCGGACTCCACCTCGGACTCCATCTCAGACTTCATCTCGGACTTCGTCTTGGTCCATCTCGGACTCCATCTCGGACTCCAACTCGGGTCCATCTCGGACTCCACCTCAGACACTTCCACATGTCATGTGTTGGTCCTTTTGGGTCCCTTTTTGGAGCCTCGCTTATTGCTCGCTTCGTTGTCTCCATGTTGGAAAGACTATACTCCTTAGAGGATGGACAAAGCATGGTGAGCCTTTGGGGTCAAACCATAGACAAATATTGGCTAGGTGCCAAGGATGGAAATGTTGACTTTTTGGAGTCAATTTCCTAGGTGTCTCCAACACCTTGCTTTGCACCTTTTGTGCAACTCCGCTTCCCCATCCTAGGAAGTTCTTTACTTGAGGGTACCATCATCCTCTCTTCGATATCGTGCCACCTTTGGCACTAAGTTCCAGTTATCATAATTGGTGCTAGGGCTGCCCATGGCCCTATTATTTGGCTACCTTACTGCTCCCCCCTTTGGAGCATCCACCTTCGCCAAATCGGAGCAGTTGGGAATCCATCCTTGGGGAAACATTGCCTTTCCCACAATCTGTTAGCACCCAACACATTGGTATTCTCAGCTTAACTTTGCTATTTGGATTATTTCCCATGATTCCCATGGTTTTTTTCTTAGCCACTAGTCTTTTGCTCCTATCCTTGATTGTTGCATCCAGCAACATAAGATCGTTACCTCCATTTTCGAGGTTTTCTTTCAGTTCCATTAGCAAACACTTTGCTTTTTGCCAAGTCTAGAGGGTGTTCACCCCTAGTACGTCTCTTTAATATTTCCTACTGTGGGCTCTATCCATGGCCCAACTCTTAAGACCCTCCCTTGGATTTCTTATAGAGACTACTTTCTTCAGACTTACTATGCCATAACAGTGACACAGCTCATTTCCCATAGGTGCTCTTCCCACTTGGTCACCTTGACCAAGCCACACCATTATCAATAGTTCAAATCAACACTTTAAACTAGGAACCGTATCCCTTAACCCAAACAAAGACCTTGTCCTTGTTTAGCCACAAGATCACTTAGTGATCTCATCTTGACCCCTTAATAGGTTTACCTATAGGAACTAGGTCTTTCAGACCCTTCTAAGTTGTTGACTATGACCCCAGGGGCATCCCCCACACTTGGTGGTGTGCCCAAGCTAGCCCTTCTGGCCAAGGATCCATAACAACTAAGACTGGGTGTCCCCATCTCATTCACTACGTCCTTGGTGCCCTTTGCACCAAAGTGTTCAAATGAGATATGCCGAGCTTTCACTTTAAGCAATCTAATTGTGCATCACGACTCCGGAGCATCCCCTGCTTGGCGGTGTGCCCAAGCCAGTCTCCTCATTGAGAGTCCATGACCACCGAAATATGAATGTCCTCATATTCCAAACCATCACCATGCCCTAGTGATTTGGGACTCAAACCCAAGCACTAGAGGGTTGGGACTCGAACCCAACCTCCGTATATGCATCTATGGACGGCATCACACCGGATGCCTGGCGTGACTCCCCATGCCGATGCACCAACTTATACTTAAAGCACGTTATAGATCACAGCTTAGGAACCTAGTTCCTCCACACTGCCAAGTCTTCTCACTTGACACGTTTATGATCATGCATGGACTCCTCCACGCTTGGCCCCATGGCCCCCCTTTATGAAGTTATCACCTTCAACTAGGGTATTTGTTCCCCCGACTTGCCAATCTCGCTTGGCAAGTCCTTCGACCACCGTAACATGGTTCTTGCATAAGCGTGAAAGTCCTTGACCATAGACTTTCATTCAAAGCCCTTTTTTTGAACACTCGGGAACTACTTTCTTAACCTTGATAGCCTTGCCTCCTGGCAAGCTTTAAGACCACGCTTTTGCTGCGCCACTCTAGTTTTGCGCGTTTCATGAACCATTTACACTTGGCCTTTTTATGTACTAAGCTACCTAGAATCGTCTTTGGGAACTTTGAAGGAACTCTATCCCTTAGCTTGCTAAGGCCTCCCTTTACGCAAGCTTTCTAGTTGCCATATAGTCTAATATGGACAACTCCATATTTTAGACTCTCCATGGCATCACGGTTGCTAGCAACAACACCCTCGAGCCCCCACTTGATTGTCCACTCCCAGCTGGCATAACCAACCTTGGTTATGCCCTTCAATTCCTATGGTTCGGTTTTATCCCCTTACTACTTGCTTTTTGGCTTCACACCTTTCCTTCGGTTATTTGCCTCCAAACTAGGAGGATAGCTTTGCACTTTCTACCATGCTTTAGCAAGTATTTTTGGGGATGAACCTACCCGACAGCCTAGGGAGTGGTTCCTCAATCCAGGTATGCTCATCTTATAATCCCACACACCGGGATTAATGTTATTGCTTATGGGCCCTTACATGCCCATCACTAGCCTTGCCAAAATTCCATTTTTGGCTTTGTCCAATTCAGGTAGACAGTTTTCTCCCGTCTCTGCAACCTTGGACATTTGGATAGCACCTTCTATCCATCATTCGCAAGGGACTTAGTCCTTTGGGCCTTATCTATTGCCCTTGCGACACTAAACACCACCTCCTGGTGTTCCAGAGTGTTTGGGTGTCCCAATGATGGTCTCCTTAACAATGAGCATTTCCTTTTACGACATTGACTCACTATATCGCAGCATAAGCAATTTATCCCCTGTAAGGGTATATCTAACTTCCTTATGCCATTTAAAAGTCTTGGGTAGCTACCTTCTACCCGTTTAACCAATTATCTTTACACCTCTTGCTTAGTTGCCCCATAGTTGTCAAGTCTTACAATTCATTGCTTGGTGCTTCCACACCTCCATCATTATCTGGGTCACCACACTCTAACCGCATGCCTTCCAACTTAGGCCATGCCATTCCCGCTTCTATTGGTATTCCCTTGGCAAGGGGTTCTTATGAACCCACCATCATAACCTCAAGGTATCACACGTTGGCACATTTGGTGTCTCCACACCATTGGCTCCACGAGCCTACCTCTATGACACTTCTTCTTTGTGTCTAAGTCTTTGCTAAGACTAATACCACTCTTTCTCATGCCAACCATCCGTTAGCACTGCACCATAGTGCACACACAACTCTATGCCAAAGTTGCTTTCTTTTTGGGGAACACCTTTCCCACGACTTTAGTATGGCACATTCTGCCACCGATGAGATACCCTCTGTTCTCATCCTTAAATCCTATGATCCCCCCTCCATCCTTTGTGGGGTACAACACACCTCAGTCCAAATGCTTCCATCAATCCTTTAGGATGATTCCTTGACTCTATTTGAGTCATCCAGCAGTTTTGGACTTGGTTAATCCACAGACCCGTAAGGTCCTATTTGTGAGGCACCAACTCACTGGAATACAACTTCTTGCATTTATGTCCTACTCACAAGGACTATTTTCACAAGTGTTACTCTGACACTTGATTTTGTTCTCTAGGGGCAACTTTTGCCCCTTAGGACTACTTGTCCATGTGATGAGAATACCACTCATCCTCTAAGTACATCCCCAACTCCTTGGGTTGTTCCAGCATTTATCAAGGGTAGCCTCGGCTACCATTTCGAGGACTTGTGTCCTCTTCTGTATTTGACCTCTCATGGTCATCAATTCTGGTCTCAAAGTTATGAGCATCAGCCTCAACTATATGAGGGTAATCTTGTGACTCCTTTATTGTTTTGGAGTCTGCATCTTTTTCGTGATCCCAACTATAGTTGTTTACCACAACTATATTAGCCCGTTTGTGTGAGCAACCAAAGGGAACGACTTGAGAGACGATCCATAGGGGTTCAAATATAGAGGGAAAGGGCCCATGAACAAGAGTGCACCCCCTTTTCCAATCGGTTAAGGGTCTTGGGATAGTTGGAGTTAAGCGTCCTTGGGTTTGAATAGTACTGGGCTGGGTGACCTCCTGGGAAGTCCAAACTCAGGAGTTTACATTTGGTATCAGAGCGGTCTCGGGTCTGACTCTGTTGGTTGGCTAAGGGAATCGCACCACATGTTGACTGACATCTGGCTGGTCCAGTTTGCTCCCGCTGGGCTCGACCCGAGGGGTAGGGTGTCAAGAGAGCGGGGCTCTCGGGAGAGCTGTGGCTCTCAACTTCCGTTCACGAGGGCGTGAACTTGCAGGGAAGCGTGGTGGATTGTGAGCAACCAAAGGGAACGACTTGAGAGACGATCCATAGGGGTTCAAATATAGAGGGAAAGGGCCCATGAACAAGAGTGCACCCCCTTTTCCAATCGGTTAAGGGTCTTGGGATAGTTGGAGTTAAGCGTCCTTGGGTTTGAATAGTACTGGGCTGGGTGACCTCCTGGGAAGTCCAAACTCAGGAGTTTACAGTTTGCATAGTACTGGGCTGGGTGACCTCCTGGGAAGTCCAAACTCAGGAGTTTACAGTTTGCTACGTCAAATGCTCATCTGGATCACATCCTCAACTTTCTGAGGAAACCTTTATACTGTTCCCAAGATCCCAAAGTCGTTCCCTTATTAGCCCTTTTCTATCCACCACCTTCCCTACAAGTTCACATGTGAACTAAAGTGGAGAGCCATGTCTTCCCAACTTGCTACTCTTCAAGGACAAGCCCACTCCTAGGACCTTCCGATGCCAACACTAGTGGTGATATACTTCAGCACCAATAAAAGTTGGACTAAGGAACAACTCTGATACCAAGTTGTAACCGACTAATTTTTCCATTCTACTTTAGTCACTTAACCACAACTCCGACCACTTGGAGGAGTCTCATTCACAACCTCCATAAGTCCCATTTCAGGACTTGGGACTTGCTAGCCCCAAGAATGGCATCCATGCCACTCAACCCTTGCACCTGGTCCAAGTGCTCCACGTGTCCAATCCCATGACCGACACTCAAAGGTACCACCGACATAGTAGCCTGTTACGCTAAGGCCATGCCCAATCACTTTTGCCGCACTGATAGTCCAATACCACTTGCAACACAATCTTGTCTCTCCAAGACTGGGCCAACCATCCGTGAGTGGTCATCCTAGATCCACTCCTTAGCATCCTTAGGATGCCCACCGACAAGGGGAACAGCCTTCCCCAATATCCCTCTGTCAGTCCCCACTAAGTCTCTTTTTGCCCTTGGCCGTGTTTGCCAACACTGCCACTGGATCAAGGCCCACAGGCCTGACCACTAAGTCCCATGGTCCTCTGGGACTTCCTCACCACGTGACCGTATCCTTGGCTATCACACCAAAGGATTGCTCCTTTTCCTTTCCACAGTCTGGGACTTGGGGACAACACTTCGAAACACTGTGGCCTTATGCGAGCCACCTGGGTACTCTCCCCGCCTTCCGCCTTTGGGTGCTTTAGCCATGGGCTTAGAGCGAGGTTTCGTTGAGCCACACCTGGTATCCAAGTAGGTAGTGCCACCCACACTTGGACTGGGAGCATCGGCCAGTTGATCTCCTGGGGGAACTAGAGCCGGCTCTTGAACACTTCACCAAGCTACCCCGCTTGTCGGTCTGTGTTCACTTTAGTCTTGGACTTCCTAGTGGGCAGCTCATCACCCAACACTGGGTACAGTCTTCCTGGGCCAAACTCGCCTTTCCTGGCCAAACTGGCTTCACTGCAGTCCTCCCCCTTACTATACTTTTGGAGCTCACCAAACCCCCCAGGGTCTGGGAGACGAACACTTTGGGCTTTCACCCTCTCAGACTTGAACTCGGACTCGGACTCGGACTCGGACTTGGACTCGGACTCGGATTCGGACTCGGACTCGGACTCGGACTCGAACTCGGACTCGGACTCGGACTCGGGCTCGATCTTGGCCTCCGCCTCAATCTCGGTCGCGGTCTCAGTCTCGGTCCCGGTCTTGGTCCCAGTCTCGGTCGCGGTCTCGGTCTCGACCTCGGACTCCATCTCGGGTCCTTCTCGGACTCCATCTTGGATTCCATCTCGGGTCCATCTCAGACTCCATCTCGGACTCCGTCTCAGTCCATCTCGGACTCCATCTCGGACTCCGTCTTAGTCCATCTTGGACTCCATCTCGGACTCCGTCTCGGTCCATCTCGGACTCCGTCTCGGACTCCACTTCGGACTCCATCTCGTACCCCACCTCAGACTCCATCTCGGACTCTGTCTCGGTCCATCTCGGACTCCATCTCGGACTCCACCTCGGACTCCACCTCGGACTCCATCTCGGACTCCATCTCGGACTCCATCTCGGACTCCACCTTGGACTTCATCTCGGACTCCGTCTTGGTCCATCTCGGACTCCATCTCGGACTCCAACTCGGGTCCATCTCAGACTCCATCTCGGACTCCAACTTGGGTCCATCTTGGACTCCATCTCGGACACTTCCACGTGTCATGTGTTGGTCCTTTTGGGTCCCTTTTTTGAGCCTCGCTTATTGCTCGCTTCATGCTTGTTCCTCGAGCACTTTGTTGGGAGTTCCACTCCCGCTCTTGACTTTTCAAGTCAGAGCTGTTAGTCCAAACGTGTTACGCTCGTTTGGCTTTCGCTTCAGCCACTACCACGTGGCACCCTTCCGGCTCCACTTTGGGGCCTAGGGATTTTGTGTCTCACAGTTCTTTGTTCTGTGTCCAGCTTGGGTATAAGCTCAAGCTCCACACTGCTCTAGTCGGTGGGGTACCCTCCTTTTCGCCTTAGGCCACTGGTATGCCAAAATTGTGCCAGACTCTGTCTGACACCATTTTGCATGCAAATGCTGGATATGGGGAGCTGGTGCTCGTGGGATTGTACCGGACCCTCATTTCGTAGTGCAATGGGCTTGGAGTTTAGCTCCAAATTCAAGTGCACTATAATTGGCATGTTCAAATGCACGTTTGAAGATATCCGGGAGAATACTTTAATCCTCACGAGTGGCTGCACTTAAACTATTGTACCACTACAACACCGTCCCTTAGGGTTATAGAGGGTTCCAAATGTATAATAAGGATAGTGGTTGAAATGCATGTTTGACCACTTAAGATATTAGTTTAGCTCTTGCTATGTCGTTCTTTATTCTGTGTTCGGCTTGGGAATAAGCTCAAGCTCCATGCTGCTCTAGTCGGTGGGGTACCCTCCTCCTCGTGTTAGGCCACCCAAACTCTGTCTGACACCATTTTGCATACAGGTGTTGGATATAGGGAGCTGGTGCTCGTGGGATTGTACCAGACCCTCGTTTTGTAGTGCAATAGGCTTGGAATTTAACTCCAAATTTAGGTGCGCTACTATTGGCATGTCCAAATGCATGTTTAAAGATATTCGGGAGAATACTTTAATCTTCACGAGTAGCTGCACTTAAACTATTGTACCACTACAGTATCGTCCCTCGGAGACATGTGGGAAACTCACACAAACGTCAAGTATCATCCCAAGAATGATATGTAGCAATCACTATGAAATGATTGAATCAGTGGTACACATCATCTTTAGGATTCCAATGAAAGAACTCCAGCTAATGTGAGGATTGGCACTAAGAACAAGAGGAGTTGTACCATGCGCCATAAATGTCACCATTAATTGAGTTTGATTCTTTAACTACAATCACATAACATTAAGCAATTACATCAATTACTATTTTCCTTTACTATGAAGTTGAATGAAAAGGGAAGAGCAAAAGAAATGAAAAAAGCTAAAAGGAAAGGGAAATTTAGACAATGTAAAAACTAAATCTAAACCAAAATCCCAGAAAGAAAGAAAAAAAAAAGGAAATGGAAAAAACTAAATCTAAATGATACAAAAGCTAAATTTAAATTAAAATCCCAAATTCAAGCACTTAGGGACAATCAAAAATGCCTCTCTACTCCATGAATGTATAGAATATAGAAAGGGAATATATAAAATATACATATTAATTAGCCCAAAAACCCTAGTTTATAGTGGTCCAAATTTAAACTAATTCGATAGTTACTAAAATCCCATTATGTTAATATTAATATATAGCATCATAATCATACATTTGGACTTCACATCATGATTTATTACTGGTATGTAATTGAAGGGTAAGAAAGTCTACACAATTTAAATTTATATGCTCTTTTCAAAGAGCCCTAAACCCTAGAAATGGCCTCCATTATAAATTTCATAAAAGTATTGTATTTGCTGTTTCCAACTTTAAAAGAATCATAAAATGGGAGCTTACCCTTTTTTCAAGAAGAAACTTGGATGTAGAAAAGAGCTTACCAGCACACATGAGATGGAGGGCCCAAAAGTGTGTGAGGAATCTGGAGAATTTGTGAGATTTTGCGAATCGGTATGTAACTAGGAGGGCGGTAAGATGGCAGGATCAAACACTTTCTTTGACGATTTCCCTCCAATGCTCCCTAAACCCTAGAAATGGGGGCAGGACCACATTTTCCCTCTGGCGGCCCCTCTGCGCACACGTCGACGTTGCTCACGTGGCTCTCGACGTCGATCGTCAAAAAGCTTTTCCAGCGGGCGCGTCGGCGACTTAAGCGCAATATTCGTCCTCAGGTAGGAGACCAGCATCTTGGCAAAAAGTAGGTGCTTTGTTCTAAGTTTCTCGATTTCTTAGCGCTAGATCTTAGAGAGGAGTGGAAGTCACGTCATCGTTTTGTAAGCTCTAGGTAGCCAGTGCCAGTCATTCTAGCTCCATCTTGTCCCTCTAGCTGGACCACCGTAAGTCTAAGTTCGATTGGATTGTGGGCTCAAGCTCTCCTCCAGCCAGTCGTTTCTCGTCTCTCCTTTTTTCCTTCTTTCGTTTCCATCCCTTGCTGCTTTAAGAGAAGTTAGCTTCGTAGATTTATCCGCGGAGATTTTAAGAAGTCGGTTGTGTACAGGAATGGATTGTCGCCTTCTCGGAGAAACACGACTTTACGGAGCTTGCTTACGTGGAGTACGTTCGAGCAACAACATGACGGCTTTCGACAATTGGGGAGTTTTCGCCACGGTAATGTGTGAACTGCCTTTCTAGTTTCCTTAACTCCCTTCTTGCTCTCTTCAGGAGTGTATCTTATCCTGTACTACAGTCTTTGATACCATCCTAGCATGGCAGTACCGCTTTCGTTCTCGCAGCTGTGAGGTACCTCGGCCAAGTTTCAATTTTTTATGGAGTCCACTTCCGGTAGCAAGCAGGACCATTACTTCTCGCAGCGGTCTTCCAGCATGCCCAAGCCTGTGCGGGATTCTCTGGCTCAACTTCCGAGGGATTCTCGTGGCTCACTCGAAGTTTTCAATCCACAAGGTTACTCTGCTTCTGTGGTTCCTCGGGGATATGTCCAGGACAGGATACAGGAGCTGAATTTGACTCCGAAAAAGAGCCTTCTGGAGAGCCAGAGCGTGAAAGGCACAACAAGTACAGCCGAGCCTCTTTCTTCTTCCGGGTGGACTCTCACAGAGAAACAAAATGATTTCCTTCAAGCATGGCTAGCAAGCTCTCAGGTGGATAAGCCTCCTAAAGGTGATATAGGTGAAGAAGAGGCACAGCATTGGAACGACGGTGCTGCTGAACTACACGGAAAGGATTCGAAAGTTGCCCCCGGGACGGAGCCTGAGATCTTGACGGATGCTGTAATTGCCGAGAGGGCGGCAGAATGGGGGCTGACGGTGAAAGCGGACATGAATTCAGGTAAAGTTCATGGTGTCAAGGCTCGGACGTCTGCCGAAGAGAAGCGCTCGCGAAGGAACTCGGATATGTCAGGAAGGACTTCGGAGGAACATGAAGGCAGGACGGATTCTACTTCAGTTCCTCGGGTCTCGAAAGAGCTCAGGGAAGCTCTGTCCACATTTCAGCAGACATTCGTGGTTTCTGATGCGACCAAAGCTGATTATCCGATATTATATGCCAGTGCGGGATTTTATAACATGACGGGATACACATCGAAAGAGGTGATTGGTCGTAACTGGTGAGTGCTTCTTCTCCCTTTTTTTTTTCTTGCGGCACCAGCTGATGGCACTGTTTCTCTCTCACAGTCGATTTCTCCAAGGCTCTGGAACGGATCCGATCGATGTTTCTAAAATTCGCGACGCCTTAAGAGAAGGACAGAGCTTTTGTGGCCGGCTGCTCAACTACAAAAAAGATGGAACTCCTTTCTGGAACCTGCTCACAATCGCTCCAATCAAAGATGAAAATGGCAAGATATTGAAGTACATTGGGTAAGCGTTTTTATACACAGTTTGCAGGTTAATCTGATTCGGAGTGTTTTTCTCTTTAGAATGCAAGTCGAAGTAAGCAAGTCCACCGAAGGCAAGAAGGAAAGTGCTTTACGTCCAAACGGACTCCCCGAGTCGCTTATTCGTTACGATGGTAGTGTATGCTGTTTGCATGCCATGAGCTGTGGATCTAAAACCTCTTATCGCAGCTCGCCAGAAGGACAAGGCAGTCCATTCTGTCACAGAGCTGGTTGAAGCTGTAAAGAGGCCTCATCCTCTCATTGAACCCGTCGCTGAGCGTGGTCCCGCGGCATCTATTTCTGGTTCAGAACGAAACAATTCAATTCCGAGAAGGCACAGTCTTCCAGATGTTTCAGAGGTAATAGGGAAAACTGGTAAATCGAAGAGACGATCATCAGGCTTTTTCAATCTCTTGAGGTACGTTCTCGGCTCTTAAATATTTGCTACATATCTTTCATGCCTTTGTTAAAGCAGATTCTCGAAAAGTGACCATCCTCACGAGCAGACAATGGACATTTCCGAGCCCGAGCTTATCACATCAACTATTGAAGAAGAAGAGACTCTAGAGAGTCTTGATATAGATCGTGCAGAAGAAATACGTAAAGGGTTTGATCTGGCAACAACTCTTGAACGTATCGAGAAGAATTTCGTCATTACTGATCCACGCTTGCCAGACAACCCAATCGTAAGCATGAGAGAAATGACATGCATGTTAAGGTTTTTCTGTTTAGATATTCGCGTCGGACTCTTTTCTAGAACTGACGGAGTACACTCGGGAAGAAATCCTTGGACGAAATTGCAGGTATTTACTTTCATCTTTACTGGCTTTTCATTTATCTCTGGTTGTCGCTGGAAGGTTTCTGCAAGGAGCTGGAACTGACGTAGAAACAGTGAAGAAAATTCGTGATGCTATCAGAGAACAGCGCGATATCACAGTTCAGCTGCTTAACTACACAAAGAGTGGTATGTTATAACGAGAAAAACGTGTTCTTCAATTGCTGAGTTATGCCAACAGGCAAACCATTCTGGAACCTCTTCCACTTGCAGGCAATGAAAGACAACAAGGCGAGTTTTAAAGTTTTTTTTTTTTTTTTAATATATGTCTCTGATGTACTGAAAACTTTCCAGGGAGAGTTGCAATACTTTATAGGTGTGCAACTTGATGGGAGTGAGTACATAGAACCCATTCGTCAGAGACTCTCGGAGAGAACGGAACAAGAAGGTGCCAAAGTGGTTAGTGTGTCGCCGACATATATAGTTTTTGCTGCACAATTCTAACACTAATTTACTTTCCAAGGTTCGTGCGACTGCTGCCAATGTTGATGAAGCTGTTCGAGAGCTTCCTGATGCAAACCAAGTCAGGTTCCTTCTAACACATGATTAATTTCTTGTTTGTCTCTCGATGCCAACGAGAATTTGTTTCTTATTTTCGTGTCCAGACACCCGACGACCTTTGGGCTAAACACTCTAAAGTCGTCTATCCAAAGCCCCATAAAGTCAACACCCCCGCTTGGGATGCCATTAAAAAGGTTCATTTAAGCTTATGTTTAGTCCCACGAACTCTCCAGTTTTCTTGCTTGTTTTTAAACGCAGATTCGAACTAGTGGCGAGAAACTGGGACTCCACCATTTTCGGCCCGTCAAATCTCTTGGGTTTGGTGACACGGGAAGGTGAGTTTTTACATAGTTGTTTCATATATATGGGATTAAAAAAACCTTTTTGTGATGGCAGTGTACATTTAGTAGAGTTGAAAGGTTCCAGCCAGTATTTTGCCATGAAGAGCATGGACAAGAGCGTGATGATAAACAGAAACAAGGTGATATCTCTGTGAACTTTGAAAACTCGCACTGATCTTTTGAACAGGTTCATCGTGCATGTGCCGAAAGAGAGATTCTTGGATTGATGGACCATCCGTTCCTCCCGACATTATATGCTTCTTTTCAGGTTTGCCAGTGCTTTCTGAGTTTTGAACACTCAGCATCTTGCTTTCTAAATTGACTTTTTCCCTGCAGACTGCGACTCATGTTTGCTTAGTGACAGACTTTTGTCCTGGAGGGGAACTCTTTCTTCAAATGGAGAAACAACCACTAAAATGTTTTGCAGAGGAAGTAGTAAGGTGGCAGCTGAACGTTTTCCTTTTGTTCATTTTTTCACTCCTTTTCACTTTTTTGGAGCAGATTTTATGCCGCAGAAGTCTTGGTTGCCCTGGAGTATCTTCATTGCCTGGGTGTGTTTATAATCCGTGCTGCCATGCTGCATACTTACTAAATTCGTTGATAGTGCAGGCGTTGTCTATCGAGATCTCAAACCGGAAAACGTTCTAGTCCAAGCGAACGGACATTTGTGTTTGACGGACTTTGATCTTTCTTTGCTATCTACAACAAAACCACAGGTCTGGTGGTGTTTTCTCTACAATCCTTTTCACCTCAGCGTTGTTTCCAGCTGATACGTCCAGTGCTTCCGTCGGGGAAAAGGAAGCCAAAGATACCGCCGCCGCCAGCGTTTGTAGCCGAGCCTTTAGCACGATCCAACTCTTTTGTGGGAACAGAGGAGTATATTGCCCCTGTAAGAACTGTAATTTTCCTGTCTTGACTGGTTAGTTTTTATATTTCGTTCCTGTCCCAGGAAATCATCAAAGGCTCAGGCCATGGAAGTGCCGTAGATTGGTGGGCTTTCGGTAAAGCAGCATTTTCTCTCGTTTGTTATAGCTTCTTTCTGACTTCCCTGTTTTCTAAGGCATACTAGTGTACGAGATGTTATTTGGACGAACACCATTCCGGGGAAAGAACAGGCAAAAAACTTTCGAGAACGTGTTACAAAAGGATCTCGTCTTTCCGAGCAGTAAACCCGTGCGTGTGTTTTCTTTTCCAAGTTTTTTCTCTAGAAAGCACAAAGTCTTCTCTATGCAGGTTAGTCTACAAGCGAAGCAACTCATACGATCGCTGCTCCAACGTGATCCCTCCAAGAGACTAGGAGGTTTAAACGGAGCATACGAAATCAAGCGACATCCTTTCTTCACCGGTATCAACTGGCCTCTCATACGCTGCATGGTTCGTTTCTTCCTTCTCCTTGAAAAATCGACGAAGAACTAACTGGGTTTGATTCTATAGCCGGCGCCAGAGCTCGACACTCCAATCCAATTCATTGACAAAAACGCAGAACCAGCGGCCACGAAAGATGAGAACTACGCTGACGTTTTCTAGGAGGCCAAGGTAATGTTGTCATATGGTTTTGGAATTTCCTTGTTTCTCTTCTAGCGAATTTCATGAGATCAAAACCAAGGTTGTATGAGAGATAGAGCTTTGGTAACAGTAGCAGACTACGTCCAAGCCTTGAAAGCCGCCTCTCGATCCAGGGATGCTACCAAGTGCAAGAAACTCCACAAATGGATCGTGGAGAGCGAGCACCGCAGCAATGGGCTCCTAGGCAATCACCTCATCGAGGCATACGTCCAATGCGGGAGAGTGGAAGCAGCGCAGTCAGTGTTTGATGGGATCGCCAATCCAGACAAGTTCTCCTGGGGCATCCTCTTCCACGCTTACGCTCGCAATGGGCATCACGCCGAGGCCAAGCACGTCTTCGATCGAATGCCCGCGCGGTGGATCGTGTCGTGGACCGCGATGCTGCAGTCACTCACCCACAGCCGGCACTTGGATGCTTCGATGCTTTTCTTCGAGAGAATGCCGTCAAGGAACGTTATATCTTTCACCACTGTGCTGGCAGCGCTCCAGAGATCCGGGGAACTCGGTCGAGCCAGCGCCCTCTTTGCCGAGATGCCGGAAAGAGATGTTTGGGTGTGGACTATCATGTTTCAAGCAAATGCCCAGCAGGGGCATTTGGATGAATCAAAGCAGATGTTTGATGCGATGCCGCTTTGGAGCATTGTTTCGTGGGGGGCGATGATCGCTGTGTTTGTGCAGCACAGGAAAATGGATGAAGCCAGCGAATTATTTCAAAGCATGCCGGAGAGAGACCTCGTCACTAGCAACAATGTGATCGCGGGATATGCCGCAACCGGGAATCTGGACTGCGCTATATTCCTATATGAAAAGATGCCGGCATGGGACGTTTGTACATACGCCTCCATCTTCGATGCATACGCCCAAAACGGTCATACGAACGCTGCCAGGAAGAGTTTTATTGACTTCCCGCAGAGAGATTCGGTACTATGGACCAGCCTGTTATCGGCATATGCCCGACAAGGGAATCTCCACGAGGTAGATCTAATCCTCTTAAAGATGCCGCAGAGATGCGTCATATCTTTGACGGCGGCATTGACCGCTCACGCACAGTCAACAAAAGTCAGCGCCGCAAAGGGCTTGTTTGACGGGATGCAAACGCGGGATATCCTGCCCTGGAATCTCTTGCTGATGGCCTATGCCCAGAATGGGCATCTTGACAAGTTGGAGAGCGTCTACGCAAAGATGCCCGAGCACAATGTCTTTAGCTCTACGTGCATGGTGGGAGCATATGCTCAGACAGGGAATCTAGAACAGGCAAGGACAAACTTTGTGAGAATGCCGGCAGAGAACACAGTCGCATGGACGACACTCCTCGTCGGCTGTGCGCACACCGCTGCATGGCAGGAGGCGCTGGAGATCTTCAAGGCCATGAACTGCGATGGTATACCGCCCGACGACGTCACATTCCTGGGAGTTCTCACGGCTTGCAGCTACGTCGGTCGGCCCGAGGAAGGAAGGAGCCGGTTCCTGTCGATGATCCAAGACCACGGAATACTGCCGGCTCTCAAGCACTACCACTGCATCCTGGATATCCTGGGCCGAGCCGGGAGACTGGAAGAGGCCGAGGAGCTCGTCCATACCATGCCTTTCGTGCCGGACGACGTTGCGTGGACGATTCTGCTTGGAACTTCGAGAGTTCACTCGGACCTCGATGTTGCCACCCGAGCAGCGGACAAACTTGGCACGGCAGCGAGCAGCGCACCGCATTTGCTGCTCCTCAAAGCGTACGCGCAGAGACAAGTGGAGGCGCTCTTATGATCTACAGAGAAGATGTTTAGACAAGTCTGGAAGAAAACTCCGAGCACAATCAAAACAATGTCTACAAAACTTGCCTTGTGTGTCGCTGCTCGAGACTTCCATCGGGAACTTTCAAGCTGTGACCGGTGGTGGCGGATCGCTTCCTTCTTGCCCAGGCTCGTCCTGTGTTTCTGGTTCTTTCTTCTTTGCTGCTACTGCCGCGGCCCTTCTTAACTTGTACTTCGCTAGAGCTCCCTTCTTCTTCTTCAAGTCTCGGGTAGTGGGCTCCTTGACGAGTTTCTTCCAAGGTACTCGTTCCGGTGGAGGCTTTTCGATCACTCTCCAGTTTCGCTTGTTCGAGCCACTCATCCTCATCACTCCAGTCTTTAAAACTCCTGTAAAAAGAAGACTTAGATTAAGGAAAGCCAGGGCTTGTGCATACCGTTCTCGTGAAACATCCCCCAAGCTTTCCCGTGGTTCAAGCTCTGGATGGAAGAAGAACACACAGAAATACTCGTCAGAGAAGCTACATTGGTCGATTCCTTCTAGAGCTTACCTTGTAGAGATTGATCCTAGTGAGAACAAAGTAGCGATCCCTCCTCCAAGTTTTCTTCTGGAACTTCATCCCCATTCCCCAGTCAGGCAGTCCTGCCAGGATATCAAACAAGTTCTTGCGAGGCCCCGCGGAGAGCTTGCTTCCATCGCCAGGCCGTGGCGATGGAGGATCCCGGCGCTTGAAATCCGGATTCTTCTTCCCCTTACCTCCATGCTTGACGGATTTCACCAGGCACCGCGTCGATCCAGGCAGCGGATCCCTCTGCAAGACAATGGAGGCGGCCTTCTTCCTCGCCAGGAACATCGCCATCGCCATGGCCTAAAAACCCTAAACCTCGCTCTTGGATTGGAGAAATTTTGTGTGTATGCTTGTGCATCGCCCATGCCATTCCCTGGGCAGATTTCCAGCCACGTATCGCGAAGAGATCGCCGACGCCGTGAGAGGATGCGTGGATCTGGCAGTCGCGAGGAGGATCCACGCCCGCATTTACATGTACACGCGATGCGGCAGCCTGGACGACGCCATCGCCGTCTTCCACGCCATGGAAAATCCCAATCTTTTCTCTTGGAACATCGTCATCAAGAGCTTCCTGCGCAGCGGGCATCTGGAAGAAGCGAGGAGCGCGTTCGATCGAATGCCGGCGCGTAACATCGTCTCCTTCAACGCCATGATCGCTGTGCATTCGCAGAGCGGGATCTTTGATCTGATGCCGGAGAGAGACGAAGTCACTGGAAATTCAATGATCACGGCCTATGCCGCGAGCGGCGAGACCAAGCGATTCAAAGATATCTTCCATGAAATGGAAACTAGAACTCTAATCTCATACAACACTCTCATAGCAGCATATACCGGAAAGCGGCATCTTGTCGAGGCAAAGATTGCGTTTGACAAGATGCCCGAGAGAACCATTATTACATGAACCGGAATGCTATCAACGCACTCATAAAACGGAGATTTTTAAATTGCTAAAGTTGTTTTCGAAGAAATGCCCGAGCAAAACATAGTGGCATGGAATGCAATGATCACAGCATTTGCCCAAATTTGGCATTTTTTGAAGTCGAGGATTGTCTTTGACAAGATGCCCGTCTGGGATCACTTTAGCTGCAATGCTCTAATCGCTGCATATACAGAGAAGGGTTTTACTCGTGAAGTGAAAAAGAAATTTCGAAAATGCCAGCAATGATTCGTCTCGTGGAATCCGCTCATCTCAGCAAATACCAAGCCTGGGAATCTGGACGAAGCCAAGCGATTGTTTGAATCGATGCCGGTGAGGAACATGGTGTCCTGGAATCTCATGCTTCTGGCGTATGCGCAGGGATCCAAGCTCAGAGAAGCGAAGGTTATGTTCGACGGAATGCCCGGGTGGGATCTCCCATCATGGTTCTCGATGATCATCGAACAGCTCCAAGCTCGAGGAGGCTCGATTCTTCTTGGACAATCTCCCACAGCAAAACGAGGTTGCGTGGACTTCCATGATCCACGGCTACGTTTCCAACAGCCAGGTCGAGGAAGCCCAGATCCTCTTCACCCGAATTCCAGTGCGCGATTCCATCTGCTGGACTGCGATGATCGGGCCTATGCTCAAAACGACGCACACGCCGCGCGGGCGATGTTCGATCGAATGCCCGAGCGCCACAACGTTGTCGCATGGACAGCGATGATCCAGGCCTACACTCTCACTGGGAATTTCTTCCACGCTTTGATCCTCTACCAGGACATGGTGTTGGAAGGAATGGCTCCCGACCAGATCACATTCACTGGAATCCTCATCTCATGCAGCTGGGGCTCCTCGCCAAATCGCGAGCCTACTTCGTGTCAATGCGTGGAGACTTGTGGCTCGCCCCGATCGTGGAGCATTACTACTGCATGATCGATGTTTTTGGGCGATCCGGGATGCTAGAGGAGGCCGAGGAGCTCATCCACACGATGCCGTTCCATCCCAAGGAGATCGCCTGGACGACGCTGCTCGGCGCCTCGTGTCGATTCAAGAACTCTGACCAGAAAGATGGGGAAGGTCCGAGCTTAATGGGATTGGATTCGAGAAGCCCAGCGGCTTACGTCCTCCTTTCGAGCGTCATCACTGGCCGAATCGATCAAGAGAAATAGGACCACCGTTAACTCACAGCTGGTTGACTTAGAAGTCTAAAGGTTTGCTCTTTGAAGGCTGCCTCTTCGATCTAAGGCTGTCACGAAATTTTCCATCATACTGGATCACCTGTTATTCCGTCAAACACAGACAAGCGGGACAATGAGCGGCATTTCAAGGGGATTGCGTTTTCGAGAGGGAGAAGCCTTCAGCCGCTTGACTACGAATATAAACTTGTAGATCAGGTTAGTGCTACCGTTAAGAGCTTTGGAGTCACAGAGGAGGATCTAATTGGTGTGCATAACTGGTACAATTCAAAAGCATCCAGGGTAACAATTTATACACAGGCTGTGTTGTCAGTGGTGATGGCATTTCGTCTGCTGCTGCTGCTCACATTGTATTCGCAAGGCTTTGCTACCACAATGCACGTCAAATTCATTGCCAGGGTCACATACATCCCAGTGATCAAATGCAAAGGGTGGCAGAGGGCATTGCTCATCCTCGTCTGGGACAAAATATTCACAGGCAGAAGTTTCCAAAGTTACTGATGATGCACACAGAGGAATGCTAGGGCTCTGTTTCTGGGGGAAGGAATGCTCACACCACCTCATGAGCTTGACTTGGCCTTTGCTGAGGTTGACCACTTGACAAAGCTGGCTTTATTTCTATCCATAATGCAAAAGTTTTGGAGTTTAACTCCAAATTCATGTGTGTTACGAGAAAGTAAACTTTTAGTCAATAAAGTTTGCATTGGCACTAGTCACTTAAAATGTGATAAAAGATAAAGCCATTATAATGAAAAGAAGATAAGTTACTTAGCTAAATGTTCTTGTTTTTTGAAACTGAGCATGAGGGCAAACATAAAACAAAGACATTGCTCCTGAAAATGGTCTATATATCTCCATAATATATGTAAAGGCCTCTCTATCATTAACTTTAGTCCTGACTTGTTAAGTTTTACTAAATTTCCAAAATCCACAGCTTTCTTACATTTGAATTGCATCAACTCTTTATATTTAACCCTTGCAATGTCAAACAAAGTTTGGCATAATTTTAGCAAATAATATAAGATTAGGCTTAGGCTAAAGCTAAATATAGCAAAAAAGAATAACAATGGTTCCAACCATTATCCCTATTATACCCTTCTATAGCATTAATGAGATATAGCTTTATATGAGCCCTTTGATGAAATCAAGAATCTAAGATAGATTTAACTTCATATTCAGATTCATTGTCTACAACTAGATGAATCTTCTCTTAGCATGCAACATTTATAGAGTATAGTAGTAATAATTTGGCAGAAAATACATTATGGACACTTGACATCTCCAAAGGAAAATCTTAAGATATATCACCACTTTGCTTTAACACCTAATAGGGGTTAACATAATAACTTTCAAAATAAAATCCTGTAATATTTCAGTTTCAAGAGGACAACCACACCTTCTCAACAATACTAATCTTTATCATGCCAATATCTAACCTTCCCATGAATAACTTTAGATCAACTTTGGAAAATCTTCATCACAAAAAGATCAATTTTCACTTTATCCTTAAAAGGGTTAAAAGACTAACAACTTTTTCATAATTCCAACCAACAATCAACCTTTTAGTTATCATAAACATTTGGTGATGACTTCCATTTGATGATATTATAATTCTTAGCATGCTTGAAATCTTTTTCCTTCTACTAAGTTTGTTTATAATAATTTTCAACACTTTTTAACACACCAATGATAATCATAGACACAAGATTAATTCAACCATTTGTGAAATATGAAATCTTTAATGAGATTGATGGAATCCTTAACTTCTTTAATATCACTTTGAACCTTAGTAATCTGGCATTTTTGTTGCACGACAACATCATTAAGAGTTTTGTCCTTCTTATTATGGCTATCATCACTAACACCATATTCCTCATCAAAATTTATATCCCACTCCTCCACCATCCCCAAAAAGAACATGTTTAGACCAACTTTATTTTTGCCTTAAATCCCATAAGCCATAAAATATTCTTAGAATAATCTTATAGTTTGCGTCAATACTTCTTACATCCTTAAGAGGTCTTTGCATTTATATTGATTTCTACTTTCCACTATACTTCTTTTAAATAATAAACTTAGTAAAAAGGTTTGTTTAAATAGCATAAAAGTATTGTAAGAATCTTCTATGAAACCAAAAAGAACGACTCAAAAAATGATCTAACCAAGTTTAAATATAAAGGGAAAAGGCCTATGAACAAAAGTATAATATTAGGATATTTAAAATTAAGCATCCTTGAATTTAAATAATACTACACTGAATGACTTCTTGGAAGTCCAAATCCAAGAGTTTATATATGTTTTTGAGAGAGATTGTGATTTGATAAAATAATTCACAAATACGAGGGACAAGTTTGGCAATTCCTCAAACTTTATCCCTTTGATAGAGCAGAATTAAGTAAGTAGTGAAACTAAGACTTATGAGTTAATTTTAACCAATAACAATCACTTCTTTGCATCTTTGGCAATCATCATTTAGGGCTTTGAGTGGTAAAAATTCTAAGAAGATAAATGACAAAAATTACATACCCAAGAAGAAAGAGAGTTTTTAGAGAAAGACAAAGGGAATAACATAATACATCTTTATAAATTTATATTACATTTTGGAGTTCTCTTTAAAGTATGTTGCCAGATTTATAAAGGATGTTACAAAACTTTTATGAATTTACTTTTTAACTATAAATCAATGGTATTGGCATCCCATGGTCATCTTCCACTTTTAAAGTACAATTCTATCATGGAAATGTTGAACAAGATATACACCCAGTCATAGAAATCTATTTCCACTTGGAAACAATCATCTTTTCTTTAAGTGCAATCTTCATGCTATAACAAAGATATATATATCAATTGAAAGAACTTTGTAATGTATTGTATACCTTCCACAAATTTCACACTTGCTGTCACACTTAGGACCTCAATCCAAAATTATACCAGTTGTTTCTGAGTAATGCTTGCTTGCACCCTCTATTCATGCTGCCATGACAATTCTATCACTTGATAGAGGACCAACCCACACTTACTTGATCACACAATTGTTTGTTAGTGTTAAACAAGACATAATTACTTTAGACTATCTTATCTGACTTAGTTTGCATCCTTGTATTCCTAGTGAATTTACATGTCAAAAGAAAGATACTGAGAAAGCATCTTCAAGAATTTACCTTGATTGACTACTGTTAATTTTGGTGTTCTTGTAAATTTAGAGGTGTTCTTTTGTGATTGTCCTCAACTCACAGCCGATGAGGAGAGGTGCCTTAAGCAAGCCATTTTAGTCTGAGTATTAGCAAGGATCCCAACTCTGCTGAGATAGTTAGATGTTTTATAATTTAATAATTCCTCTAGAATTTTCATTATCTTATAATAGAACAATTTCTTAGAACTCTCAGCTCTTCAATATATAACAGTCTTTTGGTTTGTATTTAATCTTTGGTTCTTTTGTGAGTGCACACGTAGTCCCACTGTAATGTGCTGGTCCTGGTTCAATTCTAACATTGTTGATGCATTTGAGAAAAGAGTTGACTGTCAATAGAAGCTTAAGTTTACACAAAGAAAAAAAGACATACAAAGTTGACAAGCAAGTTTCTTGACACTGAGGAAATCAAGCAATCAGATTGAAGCAAAACGCTGGCTAGAATTTAACATCTTGCCTCCCTCCTGCGAGAACGAGCACACGTTCCAGAAAGCCGGCACCTCGCCATTACGCTACCGCCTGCCCTAGATCAGCATTGCCTCGAGATCCCGCCCTGACCGAATGCCGTGGCTGAGCATTGCCGCATCGGCGTCAGCTTCCCTGCCGTGGCCGCTCTGCCAGCATTGACGCCATCATGGGCTCCTTAGCTCCATAGAATTAAAAATATTTACAGGATATCGTTTCATCTTCAGGAAATCGCCTGGACGACGCTGCCCGGCCTCGTGTCAATTCAAGAGCTCTGACCATCGAGCTCATTGGATTCTTACGTCCTCCTTTCGAGCGATCGTGAGAAATAGAAGTACGGGCATGTTTCCGGGCATTATTAAGAGAGATCCCCTGACCTTGTCTACGCGTCAACGATCTCTGTCCAAGAGATGATCTTCAGCATCCCGGACTTCAGAGGCATTTGCATTAATCTTGATGTTCGACGAGACAAAGTCCGGTTGCCTCAATTACTTACACATTTCTGAGAACCATTTGCCGCAACAGTTGACAATAAAAAATCACGGTATTTGAATTCTGCGACTGTGCATATTTCCTAGTGGTCGCCATCAGCAGACAAGATTTGAACATAGCTACGTCCTGGAAGCACGGATTAAGAAATCCTCATGGTATAAACGTTTTTGACACTGTACCATTCTTTGCGCCGATCGTACGCAGACACATCACCTTTGCATTTGTTGGAATACACCAAGTGGCCATTCCATTGCGCGGCGAAATGGTCCAAGGGATGACATTCCTGCCCGGAATTAGTCATCAAAAGAGAGAGTACCCCCCCAGTGGTCGCAATTCTCACACGCAGAGATGACGTACTGGCGCGTCTTGGACCATCTCTGGCCACTGAGATGTACGTAAGCGAAATGGGCCACGTTTGAGAATGACCAGCGCGCTGCTCACCTACTCCAGGAGGCATCGTGACCGTCGGATGCCCCCACACCTCTCAGTCAACTAACGCAGACGTGGCGTGTCGCCATTGGCAGCTGTGCGCGTCGTGCTATAAAGCCCTACCAGCTCGGACTGGCAAAGCTCGGCATTTCGCTCGCCAGCGCGGCAAATGCTTTCTAGACCTAAATCTGGAGCATATTCTCCAGCACCCAAGGAGCATCTTTAAGCTCGAAGACATGGCTGCCCGAGCCTCCTTGGGGATGTCGTCGATCGAGAGCGCGTTCATCAAGCGCTCGCTGGATCCAGAGAATGTGAGTTCCTCTCCTTCCAATTGCTCCTCGATCCTTGGCGAGGCGAAGAAGAACCTCATCGTCACAGCGGCAGCGTCGCCAAACGGTATGGCCTCGTCCAAGCCGATCACCAACTCCTCGGGCGCGCAATGGCAGAGCGCTTGCGCGGTGGTGTCCAGCCAGTGGGCGGCGCAGATCGAGAAGGAATCGAGCAGCAATGGCAGCACTGACAGTGGGCACAGCCGCAAATCGGCCACGCCCAGCAGCACCCCCTCCTCCTCCTCCTCATCACCATCCAGGACGCGCGGCGCGGATCCGCATTCCGCGAGACGTTCAAGGATCTGGTCACGCTCCCGCGGCCGCTGTCCATCCAGGATCTAGCCATGCCGCCGGCGCACGGCTCCCAGCTGCGCGTCGCGTACCAGGGCGTCCCGGGGGCGTACAGCGAGTCCGCGGCATCCAAGGCCTACCCGGGCTGCGACCCCGTCCCCTGCGAGCAATTCGAGGCGGCGTTCCAGGCCGTGGAGCTCTGGATCGCGGACCGCGCGGTACTGCCCATTGAGAACTCCTTGGGCGGTAGCATCCACCGGAACTACGACCTCCTGCTGCGTCACCGGCTGCACATCGTGGGGGAGGTGCAGCTGGCGGTACACCACTGCCTGCTGGCGGTACCGGGCGTACGGAAGGAGGAGCTCCACCGCGTGATCAGCCACCCCCAGGCGCTGGCTCAGTGCGAGAACACGCTTACCCGGCTGGGCGTGGCGCGGGAGTCCGTGGAGGATACCGCCGGTGCCGCGCAGCTCATCGCCCAGAACCCGCTGGCGATGCGCGACACCGGGGCGGTGGCCTCCTCCCGCGCCGCCGAGCTGTACGGGCTGGACGTGCTCGAGGAGGACATCCAGGACGAGGAGGGCAACATGACGCGGTTCCTCATGCTGGCGCGCGAGCCCATCATACCGCGGACGGACCGCCCGTTCAAGACGAGCGTCGTGTTTGGGCTCGAGGAGGAGTCCGCCGGCTCGCTGTTCAAGGCGCTGTCCGCGTTTGCGCTGCGCGGCATCAACCTCACCAAGATCGAGAGCCGGCCGCAGAGGAAGCGGCCGCTGCGCGTGGTGGACGATAGCAACCACGGCACCGCCAAGTACTTTGAGTATCTCTTCTACATCGATCTCGAGGCGTCCATGGCGGATCCGCGGGCACAGAACGCGCTGGGCCAACTCCAGGAGTTTGCGAGCTTCCTCCGGGTGCTCGGGAGCTATCCCATGGACATGACGCCGGTGTCCAAGACCGTGCCGTGCGACACAGACGAGGAGCTCGGGGAGGTGGCGGCGGCGGCGGTGGAGCGTCCGTCGCGGGCGGTGAACGGTGCGTGCAACGGCGCTGCCGCGTGATTCTTTCTTCTTTCCAGACTGTAAGATTGGAATTTCATGGAAAGCAAAAAGAGCGACAGAACACACCAAGAGCGTTGTTTCCAAGTGGTGATTTTCTTGTGGGATTCCACTGCCAGAATAAGATAGATATTTTTTTGCGCAGCCATGCATGAAGGCTTGGTGAGCTCGGTAGGTGCACGTGAGTGTAAAGAGGTCACCATAAGGTTAAGAAACCATGTTAAATATTAGATTCTCTTTGTACATTGCTTAGTTGACAGTGAATTTCTAATTTTTATGTATATGTGGACTTAGTAAAAAAATATCACATTAGTTTATGGAAAAAAAGAAAAGATAATAAATCAGGTAGTCTAATTAATAAATATATATTATATAATCTCAGAATACCTTTATAAAAATTAACAAAAATGTAAATACATTAAAACTAAACTTAGTATAATTTAGTAATAACTTAATATAACTTAGTAAACTTAAAATGATCATATATATTAAATTACATAAATATATTAAATTTTTGGAAAATGCAAAATATTTGTTGGAATATCGATATTTCTTTACTATTATCATTACATTTAATTAATCTAAGCCTAATGTACAATTCATATGTACTTTTTGCATTAATGTTTACTAATAAAGTTTTGGTATGCATAAATTTAGATGTAGAGTAAGATTATTTTCTATTCTTAAAGTAATTACTTTTTCAACAATACAAATAAATAAAATTTAATTAATCTCAATAATTAAATATTGCAATCTAGCTTGAAATTTATTTATAACATAGTCATGTGTATTATCATTAAACTCCCACAAATTGACCGTTCCATCAAAGGAGTGAGTTGCAACCTCAAAGGAATCCACCCTCAGGCACCATAATATATTTTTTAATATATATATAATTTAACATTATTTCTAAGTTATGTATAATATTCATTAATGTTATAAATAAAAGTGGCATTTAATAAAGATGGATATGCAAAATAATTATCTTTTACTATTGATCTTTTTCTTCGGATTGCTCGGAGTAGTACAAAACTATTTTTGATCGGTAAAAATAAGCCTTGGAACGTATTTTTATATTTATTTTGAATTATAGCATAAATTGTAAATTTTATAATCTAATAGTATATAACTAAAAATTAACACATAAATATTAAAAATTAAAAGTAAATTTTACTTTAGAAAAAATAATTTAAAAAAGAAATATATATTTATCTGCCATAAATATCTGAATCAATGTTTTAGCATTTGCTCTAACAAACCATATATTCAGAAAAATTATCAATAAAAAAATTATATTTTGTCATAGTACTCCTACAAAACTTTTATTACTTAAGCATTTCTTATGTTACAAAATATCTAATTCATATTATAATTACAATATTAAAAAATTTATTAAATAATATATTTTAATTTGTATATGAATATTTTATATATGGCTATATTACTTTGATTTGATTGAATGTTGAGAGTTTCTTTGAAACAACACCTGGCCAGATGAACTTTTTGCTAGCAATAAAATAAAGTCTTTATAATTATTTATATATGTTAAAAATAGTAAAACATTAAGTATATATACTTTAATAAATTAATTAGTAAAATTTCTTATTTTGTAACATCATTTGATCATTTAAACTTTTAAATGCTTGTGGTGGCATAGTATCTTTACAGATTCTCACTCTTTTAAATAGTAAAATTATCTTTTTATTTATTTTTATATTATTCTATTAAAAATTAAACTTTTACAGTTTAAATTTATTTGCTAATAGATTCTATTAGCATTATATTTTTATATTTACTTTTAAATTTTTATAAATTATGTTTTATTTAAATACACACACATTATATATATATATATATATATACATATATATATATATATATACATATATATATATATATATATATATATACATATATATATATATATACATGTGTATATGTATATACATGTGTATATGTATATACATATGTGTATGTATATATATATATATGTATATATGTATATATATATATGTATATATATATATATATGTATATATATATATATATGTATATATATATATATATATACACATGTCTGTGTATATATGTGTGTGTGTGTGTGTGTGTGTGTGTGTATAAGAGCACTTTTAACATAGTTGAGCTCTTTTGAAATAGAAGTAAATTAAACCCCAAAAATGTAATGTAATTAAACATTTTTAAATGTAATTTTATTTTCATTTTCATGTATCCTACTGTCATTTTAAACTGATTTAACTTCTTTTGAAAACTTTCCTTTTGCTCCAATGATGAAATCATCCACATACACAGCATTCATAGTTGATATCCTTGTTTACAGATAAATATTTTAAGAAGGAAATTGTGATGAGTACTTTGATGCAAGCTTGAAATACACAACTCATACACTAGTCAATACATCTTATGTGGTGACATGAGGCCTCAGGAGTTACCTAAAGAAATATAAAATAAGCCATTTAGGAAGCTAGTATTAATATTCTCCCAAGGCTAATAAAGACATTAAGAAATCTAAAACAAGATAGTGTTTCAGAATGTATGGATTTATAGTTTGAGTAGCAATAAACAACCTATAATTGCTTGTGGTATGGCTATAGCATCTGCTACAAAAGAGGCAATTGGAACATAAGGTGGAGCAAGGAATGCTTACCCAAAATTACAACACCTCTGCCACTCTTAGATGGCTTTCTTGACATTTGGATTGGGTGTAGCCCATTGAGAAGTCTTAGTGTGGCATCTGGTGGAAGATTTCCATCACTTGGTCAAGCTCCAATGCCTGGGCAAACCTTGCATCACCGCAGTGCATGGGACCCTCATGCATCTTGTCCAAGATATATTGTGTAATGCTTGTGGTGGTAATAGTATTCCATGAGACATCATTCTGGCTGGGCATTTGGAGGAAGAGGTAGCATGCAAGATCCATATGCCCAGTCTGGACATACGTGTGGATCACATGTGAGTCGAGAACAAGTTTGGTTTCTCAATGGAATTGTGACCAAGCTCTAACACAACCAGATGAGCTGTGAGCACACCTAAACTCTGGGCAATCAGCCATGAAGTCATTCTAGTCTCCCTCTTAAAACTTTGCACAATGGAAGCATCTTTTCATTAACATCAAGCCAAAATAACAAAGGACACTTGATTAGAACATGTGAAGTGGTTAGGAACATGAAAAGTTAATTGGTTGAAAACAAGTATCTGTAAAAGCCCTGAGGCAGCTTTGATGGTGTTGGGAGTCATACCATTTGAAAGCCCTCATTAATCCACCTTGCTTTTACATTAAAGTGTGGTAGGGTAAGAAAAAATTAATGATGGCTAAATTTTTCTTATAAAGTTAATATATTAGAAAATTGTTTTTTTATATTGCCAATGTTTTGTTAGCCATTTTTATGATTGACTGTTTTATTAGACTTTTGTATATGATAGTTGGAAAAAGAAAATTTTGTAATAAATTAGCTCCAATAAAGGGTTGAAGAGCTTTTATTACCTCCATTTATGTAGATATAAAATAAGATAGCTATAAGATTTTATAAATTTAATATTGTGAGTGCATGGAATTTGAAAATAGAATACAAAAATGTGCATATTGAACCTCACAATATAAGCTTTCAATTACACTATGATAGATGTAGTGATTAATTTTTACATTAAAATTTGTAATATTCTAAAATGTTTTATAAGAAATTTTCTCTTGTAATTTCTCTTGTACTAATTTATTTATATTATTGTTATAATCTAAAATTTAATTGTAATTCTGATTAATATGATGTACTTATGAAATGTATTTTAGATTTAAACATGGTGGAGATCTTAATATATTTATTTTTATGTCTTCTAACAAATTTAAACTTATAAATAATCCAAATCTTATTAGAAGATATAAATTTTACAATTAATTGGGAAGATTATGAAATTATAGTATTTGAAGGTTTTGCAAAATATGAAATTATAGGATGGTATGATTGGAAACTATGATCATTTCAAGGATGGTATAAACATGAGCACACTTTAATTAAGTTTTTTAATATTAAACCTCAATATTATATCTTAAAATATTATAAAATATTTTATAATTTTAGTTTTTATTTAAATAAACAATTAATACAAAATATATATTAATATAAATTAATATGCTTCTAAAATATTCTAGAATATTTTGTGAAGTTAGGGTGACACTATTTTGATAAGAATAGATCTAATATAAAGACTTTTACCCTTGACTATAAATAGCTAATTTAGGCATCTAATAGAAGAATTTAAAGGTTAAACTTTTTTTTAAAAAAAATCAAAAGTTCGCTTTAAAATCTTCCTTCTGCTTTCCTGGTCATAAGCTTGTCCAATAACAGCTTCAAGACATGGCATCTAGCCAAGAATATGTAAATCTTCAATGTTCCAATCGACTAAGCCCAGTTCTATTGCTCCTCAGACAATCAGCCTTCATGGCTTGCCGGATCCGGATCACATCCTCAGGCCTCTGAGCAGCAGCATAGATGTTGGACAGCAAAAGATAAGGCGCTGTTTTCCGGGCCTCGGGATCCTGTTCCATGTCGATGAGCTGCTTGGCGGCCACGGCCCCTCGCTCCACATCGCCATGGACCCTGCAGGCATCCAGCAGCGATGTCCACGCCACGGCCAGTTCCTTGCGCGGGAGCTCCCTCACAAACTTTTGGGCCTCGCTAAGCTGTCCGGATCGTCCCAGCGCGTCGATCACACAGTGGTAGTGCTCCGGTAGCTGCGCAAGGCCGCGATCATCAGGCAACGAGTTGAAGTAGTCCCATGCTTGCTCTACGCGCCCGGCATGGCTGCAAGCGGTGAGGACTCCAATGAAAGTAATCTCGTCGGGTTCCACACCCTCGAGATCCATGCCCCAGAAGAGCTCTAGAGCTTCCATCGGATGCCCATTCTGGGCATAAGCGTAGATGATCGCAGTCCAGGACACCAGTGTCTTCTCGGGTATTTGGTGGAAGAGTTCCTCGGCGTGGATGAGATCGCCGAGGACGGCATAGGCCTGGCACAGGACTGTCCAGCAGATGCTATCTCTCTCGGGCATTCTCTCGAAGATCTCCACGGCTTTCTTGACATTCCCGGTCTGGGTGTAGCCATCGAGCAGCACCGTCCAGGACACCAAGTCGCGGTGCAGCATCTGGTGGAAGATTTCCATCGCTCGGTCGAGCTCCAGCGCCTGGGCGAAACCTCGCATCACCGCAGTGCACGGAACATGGCCGAGCTCGGGCATCTTGTCCAGGATAGTTCGCGCTTCCGAGAGAAGCCCGTTGATAACGCTTGCGGCGACGATGGTGTTCCACGAGACATCGTTCCGGGCGGGCATTTGGAGGAAGAGGTGGCGGGCGAGATCCATATGCCCGTTCTGGGCATACGCGTGGATCATGATGTGAGTCGAGAACAAGTTTGGCTTCTCGATGGAATCGTAGACACTCCGCGCGTCGCCAGCGCTGCCGCATCGCCCATACATCTCGACGATGAGATTTGCAAGAAATCTGCTCTTGCAGCGCTGCTGGATCCCTCCGGTTACCTGTTCGTGGAGTCTCCTCGCGTCGGCCAGGCTTCGGCACGAACGGATGAGCTGCGAGCACCGCCTAAACTCTGGGCTCCGGAAAAAATCAGCCATGAACGATCTTCATCCATGAATTCATCGATGGAATGTTAACATTAAAGGTTAAAGGTAAAATTGCGATTTTGCGCCGGCCGTGGGAAGAGCCTTGCGCTCTACCAACTGAGCTAGGCCGGCTTACGCAAATCCTCCACTTAATCTAAAGTAAACGCCAGCGTGGAGCTAGCTTGATCCTACGTGTGTCATGACGTGGTTTTGGGTATGGCGGCTGCGATTGCTAGCTGGCTATGGCGCCCTCCATTGTTCCCTCGGCATCGATCATACGGCGGCATCGATTTGAGGATTCGAAGGCGTTGCGCTGTCGCAAGGTAGCGTCTCGATCGATCGAGTTCTCTTTTCGGTGATTGATCTCTTGTCTCTAGAAAATGGAGGCCCTCTCCTCGGCCCCTGATTGCACCTTGTCGTGCGTCGCCCGACGACAAGGAAGAGAGCAGCAAAGAGGACAAGGCATTGGAATTTAAGATCGAAATGTTCTAGCACTTGACAAGCGACTGTTCTTTCGTTTTTTTTTTTTTTTTTTTCTTAGGGAGTGGAGACTGGAGGAAGTGATCCTCCCGCTGAAGTATCGGTACGTTCCTCGCGTTCTTTGCTTGGTTCCTTTTGTTTTAATTCTCGTCTTTAGCTCACAGGAGCCTTCTAAAGTGATCAGTGGGTCTCCTCTTCCAGGAGTCAAGGTAACTTTGGCACCAAAGAGTTTCCTTCTAACTACGACGGTTTTGTTCTTGAAAGGCGCCGCTCGAAAGCATCAAAATCCCGAAGGAGGTCCTGGAAACCATTCGTAACCAGATTTTCGGCTTTGATACGTTCTTTGCTACGAGCCAGGAGTACTATGAGGTAACAAGCTAGAGTTTAGTTTGCTGTTCGAGCTCAGGACATTGCAATGCAGGCGGGAGTTATCTTCCGTGGAAACATGCGTGGGGAGCCTGCGGCAAGCCATGCCAAGCTAAGCAGCAGACTACAGGTACGTGATATCGCTTGTGTTCCGCAAAAAAAAAGCTTTTACGATTGCCAACATCCAGGAAAAGTTTGGAGACGAGTACCAGCTTTTCTTCATCTCCGATCCAGAGGGAGACAAGCCTCTCGCGGCCATAGTCAGAAACACCTCCTTGCAAACTGAGCCAGGAGGTAATGGTCTCGGTTGGTAATTCGTGTCGATTCTTAAGAAGCTTGCTTGGTTCCACAGCTATACCCGACTGGTTTACAGTTAGCGCCTTTGGGCTCGTCTCACTTGTCACCATTTTTCTTCGAAACTCCCCTGCCCTGCAGCTGAGCCTCTTGTAACTCCTCGATTTCTTTTTTATCCTGTCCTTTTTTTCGCTCTCACATTTTCTCTACTTCTTGAAACTGATACTGTGGTGTGAAAAAACATTGCAGGACAGGAAGTTTTACTTTCGAACAGGTATTGGATGCTGTGCCGAGAGCGCTAGTCACTCTATCAGTTCTCCTTGCGCACGAAGCGGGCCACTACGTTGCTGCCAAGAGAAATGGAGCAAGCATCGGGTTGCCGTACTTCATTCCGAGCTGGCAGGTATGGATGGACTCGAGAACTTTTTCTGTGATCTATTGTTCGCTTTCATTTGCAGCTGGGGTCATTTGGTGGAATCACCAGAGTGACAAGCGTGCTGAAAAACAGATCAGAGCTCGCGGAAATTGCTGCGTCGGGTCCTCTCACTGGCGCGGTTCTCGCGCTGGCAATCATTGTTGTGGGGCTCTTGTTGACACCCGAAAAAGGAGACGGGCTTCTTGTCAGTTCATCAATCTTCCACGACTCCCTTCTTGTCGGAGGAATTGGTAGATCGGCTTTTGATATTATGTTGTGATGGACTAACGACTGTGACTTGTGCATGCAGCGAAGCTCTTACTTGGCGATGCTCTCAAGGAGGGTTCCACCATATCCATTAATCCAGTGATCCTCTCAGCGTGGTCTGGCTTGCTGATAAACGCAATCAACTGCATTCCAATTGGTGAGATTGACGGTGGACGAATCGCTCAAGCACTCTGGGGGAGGAAGGTAAACTTCTATAGTTGAGTGCTACGTACTCAAAGCTTGTTTTTGTATCTTTTCTTTTCTTTTTCAGGGGTGGTCTCGATTCACTGGTGTCTCAATTGCTCTACTTGGCTTAACTGGAATTTTCAGCGACGTTGCGCTCTACTGGGTCGTCCTGGTTGTTTTTCTCCAACGCGGGCCTATTGCTCCCCTCGCGGATGAGGTAACGCCTCCAAGCTCAAAGCATATAGTTGCTGGTGTTTCAGCTCTACTTCTAAGCTTGCTAGTCTGCTGCCCCTTTCCCTTTCTATTTGCTTGAAGGGTTAACTCAAGTTATTTCTCACATCTTTGATGTTCAAAAAATTCAAGCAAAACAAAATATACTCTTTTACGTGCGCGATTTTACTGCGCTTAGCATTTGGGAAGACTGCATCCAGTCCCCAAGTTTGGGCAAGTGGATGGAATGGCTTTCGGTGATGATGCTGGTTTCATGCAAAATGAGCTCCGTAGGGAAGGATGCTACTCTCGTCGGTGAGGTTCTTGGGTGCCGGGCCAGTGAGCTTGAAGAAGCCGTCGTTGGCACCGTGAAGGTGATGTTGTTTATAAAGTTAGGACATGAAAGACTTCACGTTGCTTTAGGGTTCTTGAGCTCCCTGGCTTCTTCCACCTGATGTTTGTTCCAGTTTTGTTCGAGGTGTTTGGGAGCTATTACAACTCGCGGTTTGTGGAGTGCCGCCCAGGCGGACGAGCCAGAAGCAGGCTGCCTCTTCAAGCTGAGGCTTGACTACCCCGTATGTTCGTCAGGAATGTGTGGAGCTGTTTAAGGAATCGGAGCTTGAGCTTCGCGAGAGAGAAGAGAGTGCGGAGGAAGAGAGTGAGCAGGAAGAAAGGAAGGGAGTGAGCAGGAAGAGGTACGAGGGGCAGCTATCCCGTTTTGCAGGGCACTCGGGGGACTGGAAAAACGATGATTGGCTTGTGGCACTCCTTGAGCTCCTCGTCATTTCACAATCGTCCGTAAAAAACATCGTAACCGTCTCTCGACTTGAAAAAGCTAATCAGGATCCGCAATCAGCAGCGTGTTGGCTGCTATGAAACCGAGCCCCTCAAAAGCACAACCGTCGCTTATGAAGATCATCGGGCACTCAAGTACCCACCAACTTTAGCTCTATCCCCCACAAAATAAAGCTTCTTCTCTTTGAAGATTGCATAAGTTCTCGTTGTGGTCATGAACGTGAACAAGAGCTGCAAACTTGTGTTTAGGGGGGAACTAGATTGGGGCGATGTGCAGCGGCACGTTTACTATGCTGGTTTTGTTCCAAGGCTTACGTTCCAGAAACCACGGCGGTTCCTTCCTGTTCTCAAAGAGCTGAAGGCTGAAACCGAACGCGAAAAATCACTGCTCTCCGTGATCTCTGTGGTTCCCTATTATCTGGACAAGGAGTTCCCGGATTTCGCTGTCCTCCTGGACAGAGGATCTTATTGGGCTGAAGGTTACACGAAGATTGGCCTGAAGTTTATAATGGAACAGCTTTTGAAACTTACGTGCCTCCTGCTCATCGACCACCAGCTTTTGGACGTTGCCTGAAGCTCGAGCGGGCATGGTCCGGGGCAGGATCTGCTCACAGTCAGCGAGGAACTTTGGAAACGTGAGATGAATCAGCAGTTCCATGATCTCTCCTCTGAAATCCGCCACGGGACCTCGCCGCGTCTTGTAGCATACAAGCGCATCGTGCCAGTGCAGGATCTTCACGTGTATTTCTACTCCAGTTTTGAGGATTTGGAGGAGAAGATCATAGATTGCCTGGACAAAGGTGTGAAGGCAGCTTATTTCTGGCCCAAGGTTGCAGACGGAGGCTGTCGTAGACAGCGTTTTCATCGACTTCAAGCGGCAAGTTACGTTCCTCCTGCAGTCGACTCTGGCCAAGACACGTAGGACTGTTGTCTGGCACCCAGTTTACATGCTGGTAGGCTTCCTACGTCAAAACAGCATAGGAGTTGTGGGGCTGTATTTTATGACATCGGAGACCAGCTATACTCACTTCGGCTACCAGACCTGGAAGAGATGAGCTGATGCTGCCCAATCTTCCTCAGTACAAGGTGAAGTTTAAGGTGCTCGAGAGCAACATGGAGAACCTGGAAAAGCTGCAGGAGTACAGGGGCGGCATTGATGAGAGCTTGAAACTGATGGCGGTAAACACTTCTGTGCATATCAACATTCTTGACATTTTTTTTATTTTGCAGAAATCAGGCAATAATATGCCAGAGTGCTGTATCCGCAAGCGAAGGCGGACGACTGACACGGACGTGGAAACTACTCCAACTGCGTGCGTGTGAGTTTTCTGGTATTTGCTTGTGAATGTTGGTTGGCTGAGCCGCTTTGAGCAGGACGCCTTATGCGTGGAGTGATCCACTGGAAAAGCTTGGAAGACATGACTTTTTTTTGCAAGGTCCAGACTTATGTTGATTTAGAGTGAGGAAGCTGTAGTGCTGGACAACACAAATTTTGATAACTCTTAGTTTGATAGCTCGAACCCACGACGCCCTTAATCGAGACATGTAGCGCCCACCAAACCATCAAAATCTTGAACATCATTGAATAGATAAGGTGATATAGCTTTAGCAACGAAGAGCTCCTTCTTTTTCTAGAGACGATTTTGATCTTGAAAGGCACCACTCGAAAGCATCAAAATCCCGAAAGAGGACCTGGAAACGATTCATAACCAGGTTTTCGGCTTCGATACGTTCTCGCTTACTATGAGCTGGCTGTTGGAGCTTAAAATACTGCGGGAGTTCTAAACATGCTTCTTGAAGTCTTATCTTCGAACAGCTGTGCCGAGAGCGCCAGTTCTCCTTGCACACAATGGGCCACTACGTTGCTGCGAAGTGAATTAGAGCAAGCATCGTATTCCGAGCTGGCAGGTACTCGAGAACTTTTTCTTTGATCTCTTGTTTTCGGGTCATTCGGTGGAATCACGGTGCTGAAAAACAGATTAGAGCTCGTGGAGTTATCTTGTCACCGGTGCAGTTTTCTTGCTGGCAATCATTGTTGTTTGTTGGGCGCTTGTTGACACCCGAACAAGGAGACGGGCTTCTTCTCAGTTCATCAATCGTTCAAGACTCAGGTAAATCGGCTTTGATATTACGTTGTGATGGACTAACGACTGATGCAGCGAAGTTCTTACTTGGTGATGCTCTTTCCACCATATCCATTAATCCAGTAATTCTCTCAGCGTGCTCTGGCTTGCTGATAAATGCAATCAAGCACTCTGGGGGAAAAAGGTTGTTTTTTTTTATTTTTCAGTGGTGGTCTTGATTGGATGGTGTTTCTATTGCTCTACTTGGCTTAACTTCAGCGACGTTTTTCTCCAAGGCGGGCCTGTTGCTCCTCACGCTGATGGAGTAAAGCCTCCAAGCTCAAAGCATATAATTGCTGGTGTTTCAGCTCTAGTGCTAAGCTTGATAGTTTGTCCCTTTCCGTTTCTATGTACTTGAGGGGAGCCGAGGTAATCTCAAGTTGGTTCTTTATTTTCTCACATCTTGGATGTTACAAAAAAAGATTCAAGCAAAACAAAACATACTCTTTTGCAGCGATTTTACTGCTTTTAGCACTTGGGAAGATCTGCCGGTGGTGGCTGTAGTGATTGCGAAGGACCCTTTCCATTGTTGACGATAAAGGCTGTATCCAGTCCCCAAGATTGGTGGATTTCCAAGTGGCAATGCATGAACCAAGCCCCTGCGAAAGAGAAGGAACAAAGTAAGTTTTCTTTGCTTCAGCGAAACTACTAACCGGGATTGTCTGTCTTGAATCTCAGTGCGGCCCATCCTCCAACGGGTACTCCGATAGTGTTCCTCTCCGGTGGATCAACGAGGTTGAATGTGGACGCCAGGGAAGAGTTGTAGTTTCCAAACCCCGTTCCAACGACGTAGAAGTTGTAGCCATGCAAGTGGATCGGATGGCTTTCAGTCGTGACGATGCTGGTATCTTGCAAAATGAGCTCGACATTGGCTCCGTAAGGAAGGACCGCTACTTTCGTCCGGGTTCCATTGATGGAGTTGAGGTTCTTGAGTGACGGGCCCGTGTAGTTGAACTTCACCAAAGGCGAGAAGGGGAAATCAGTGCTGTAGACGCCGGGGGTGTTGAAGTAGTGAGCTTGAAGAATGGCCGTTGTTGGCACCGTGAAGGTGATGTTGTTGACAGAAGCAGCAAACCTTCCGCCGTTAGGTCCCTGACAAGTTTTGTTTGAGGCTCCCGGTGGACAGTTCTCGACGGCCAGGCCAACCGTGAAGAAGAGGTGCTGGTCGACAGTCTGTGGAACCGCGATGGGATCCTCAGGAGTTGCGAGCTTCCTCAGCTTATTGTTGAAGGCCGTGACTGGTTTGGTGTCGTTGAAAAACGGGAGAGGCGGGAGAACTGGGGGGGACGAAGAAGAAGCTTGCTGGTACTGGAAAATGGCGGTGACGGTGGTGTTGTCAAAGGTTACGTTTTGGCCCGACTCGTACGAGTGAGCAGCCATGAAGTAGCGTCCTGGAGCTTGGTTGGCAGTCACCAACAGGTTCATGGTCTGCCCTGGAGCAATCACCACGACGTTGGTGTTGAAAGGCTTGACGTAGCCAGCGTCCGCTTCCACCACGGTTAGAGTGTGGTTGGCTATGGCGAAGAAGAGCTCCGTGTTGAGGACAGCGTTCACGAGCCGGAGGAGATAAGTTTTCCCAGGAAGAGCATTGAGGACGAAGACATCTGCGATATAAACTCGTTAGCTGTCCAGAAAGGAGGTCTGGAAACGATCAGCGCACCTTGGGAGGAGCAATTGTAGAGAGGCCCGGGTTTTCCATTGATGGTGAAGGCATCCGAGATGTTTGGACCGCCGCCGGTTCCAAGCGCTTGCTTGACGACTTTGAAAACGTCGCTCTTCCACCACTCGCCTGGACGGAAAACTCTCAAAGTTAGACAAGCTCATCGGGTTTCTAGTGCGGTCTCTTACTGAAGACGAGTGGAACTTCCTTCTCGGGCTTTGGAAAGGGGTAGCCGAGGCCGGGCTTTGGATGGATGATGAAGGCTCCATGCACGGTTGCTCTCAGCCAGTTGATGTGCGCGTGCCACCACAGAGTTCCTCGCTGCTCGGTGACCGTGAAGTTGTACGTGAACGTCTGGTTTGGCTGGATCGGGCACTGGGTGATGTAGGCGGGTCCATCAAACCAGGCGGATCGCAGTTGCCTCACTCCATGCCTGGTATAAACTCTCGAGAATTCAATCATCTCTCTTTAATTTTCTTCTTTGCTTCAGGACTTACCAGTGTATGGTCATGTTGTGTGGGACTCGGTTCGTGACTTTGACGACAACGCGATCGCCCTCGTCGAGGTGAATCGTTGGTCCTGGAAACTTTCGGTTCACTGAGATTATGTGCTTGGTGCTGCAGAGCTTGCTCACTTTGTGCGATTGGATCTAGCAAACAAGGCCGCGAGTTTCATCCATCCACTCTGGAGAAGAAAGACCCATTCTACTCACCGTGAAGTTGTAGTGCCTGGTAACTCCGGCTTGGACTCCCTGTGCGAGCGCAAGAACAATGCCGATGGCGAGCAGCAGCATGGTGGAGTGCATTGCCTCTTCCCGAGCAAAGACGAAGCAAACGAATGAAGAGCTCGAGCTGAGAACTCCCGAGCTGCGATCCCGGCGATGGAAATTCCGGAGTGACGATGGCAGCCATTTATACCCGGGGCCAAGGTTTCCAGCAGACAAGAACAGCCAACAAACTGCGTGGCCACACACACTTGAGGACCAAGGCAAGCAAGAGAGAGAGAGTAGTCGGAGCACAAAGACAGAACAACAATTCCACCAGCCGAGAAGCGCGCCAAATCACCAAACTTTGGCATTTCCATCCATTCCCTTCTCTTCTTTTGGGTGCTGTACGAAGCAAGCGGCGCTGGGCCGTCGGATGCGCACCCCGGGCCGCACGCTGGCCGTCGGATCGCCGGTTGGCCATCGGTTTCCTAGCTTGGAAAGGAATCGTGATCATTCTGCCTATCCATTCCACTGCACTCTAGCTCTCCAACTAAAATCTAGGTAGATTTTAGGGCAAAGTGTCGCGATTTTAGGGCCACGTCAGCGCTTGATCCTCCACGTGGACGGCGTCTTCCTCTCAAGCTATGGCGGCTTCTTTGCGGCAACATCCAAGCTTCTCGGCTCCAAGCGCCCGCTCTTGCTTAAATCGCTCGCGGCGGGCAGTGCTCGTTCGGTGCTGCGCTGGTGAGTAACGCGCATTCCTCCAGAGATCCAAATTTCTCTCCGCTGCGCTGTGATTCGCAGCAGCGGGAGAACAAGATGGCTCCAGAAGGAGCACTCTCGGAGCTCTAGCCTGCGGCCTCTGCGCTGGATTCGCGATCGCTACAACAGCGTTTTCTTCCATTGCCGAGGTGAGAGAGTACTTCCGGTTCTTCCCGCGAGTTCTTGAAAGTTTGTAAGTTTCTTTCCTTTCCAGGTGAGGCTACCACCACTCTCGAATGATCCCAGGCGCTGCGAGCGCGCCTTCGTGGGCAACACCATCGGCCAGGCCAACGGCGTCGCGGACAAGCTCCTGGATCTTCGCTTCTGCGACTTCACGGATAACAAGGAGGGGCTCAAAGGCAAGACGCTGTCCGCAGCTCTCATGGCCGACGCCAAGTTCGATGGCGCGGACATGACCGAGGTGGTCATGTCCAAAGCCTACGCCGTCGGGGGCAGCTTCAAAGGTGATCGTTTTCTTCCCTGGCGCTGGCTTCTCAAAACTTTGAATCGCAGGAACTGATTTCACCAACGCTGTCCTTGACCGGGTTGTCTTCGACAAGGCCGATATGAAAGGTGCCGTTTTCCGGAACACCGTCCTGTCCGGCTCCACTTTCCAAGGAGCCAATCTGGAGAATGCCGACTTTGAGAACGCGCTGATTGGCTACAACGATGCCAGGAAGCTCTGCTTAAATCCCACACTTTCAGAGGAGAGCACGATCGAGCTTGCCTGTAAGCGGTGATGGCGATCGTCGACAAGAGATTGAGAGAGAAGTTTGCGGTTTGCTGTCTGAACTGCGACTGCGAGTGTAAAAGATATATATATACATATACATACTTTTGGATCGAGCGAAAACTAGACGTCAACTTCCATACTTGCGGTCCCATCGTTGTCTATCCGGAGAACATCAAGCTTGCTGAGAAAGAGAGATTTCTATCAGTACCACGATCTTACAACAAGAAAAAATAAACCTTTTACCTGTCAGGCTGTGAGTAAAAGAATCGTAACATTCCCCTAGGGAGAACCAGTGAGCTTTCGAAATCCCGTGGATGGCCTATCCCCTTCAACCAAACACCAGCGACACGCTTCATCAGGACAAAAAGAAAAGCACGCAACTTCGATTTATTCACCTTTGATGAGGCGTGGAACATCAGTCCTGTAATTTCTTGACCGAGACGGTCTATCCAAACCTTTCTCGCTTGAACTAGTTCCAGGACCCAGTCAAATATCTGTTTTGCAAACAAGCCACAGAACTAAGGAACGCGGGACAAGGAAAAAGACTCTACCTGAGCTAATCGATATCGAGGAGGTTCGAGATGTCCACCATTGAATCGAAATCCTGTCCCTTGACACTCCGGACAGAAGATCGGCTTGTCCTGGTGATTGAGGTGCTGCTGCCCGACACTCTGGAGGCTCTTGCGGAAGTTCCGGCTGAAGTGCAGCGAGTGTCCCATCCAGAACTTAGCGTCAAACAACAAGATCCAGTTGATGAGACAGTAAGTGTGATAGACGTGGAAAGCCTGCAACCAAAAAACTAGAGAAGTTAAACCCAAGAACACCATAGAAATCACGAAAGTGGGATGACAAACAAGAACAAGGAAGAAAGAACATACCCCGAGCCAGTTTCGACTGTGACACATCATTTGCCTGTTGCTCATGTTGAGAAGCGTGGCAACATCCTTCCCAGCGACCATCTTTTGCCGGCAGATGAAGCAAATCCTCTCGGTTTGCTTCGTGCGCTTCCGGCCCCTCGTCCCTTTCTTTGCCTGCTGCTCGACAATCGCCATAGCTCGAGGAGCACTGCCGCTATTGTTCTCCCCAGTCTCTTCTTTGGCGGAAGAACACAGCACCACGCCTTTGCCGAGTCCTTCGCTGTATGGAAACACGACGAGTCCATACTCGGCCTGGCCGCTTTGCTGCTGCTTCACAAGCACTCGCTTCTCCAGCCAGCAAGCCTCCACGAACTGAGCACCAGGCCGGACCTTGACGAACATCTGCCCTTGATCGACCAGCTGGAGTGGAAGCTCCGGCAGAGCAACCAGATTTAATGGAGCCACCAGAGAGGAAGAGGTGTTAGAGCTGGGGCTGTCCACTTCCATCTTGGAAGAATGCCGGTGGTTCTTGGTCCCATAGATCCTCTTTTGAGCGCCCACAATGCTGCCTGCCTCGCTGCCTTGCCTCTCATCGTCGGGCTTTGGCGACACGAGGCCACTCCCAGCCAAATGCCGCGCGTGGAGATTTCCCTTGAGGTGATTCCACAAGGAATCGTCGTTGTAGCTGCGAGTGCCGCAGACGAGGCAGAAGAAGATCGGGCGCTTGCCGTCGCGGCGGAGCTCGATGCAGGTGTGGCCGCGCTGCGCGGCATCGCGAACAACAGCTCGAGCTGCCTCCTCCTTGACGCCTTTCAGCATCGCGGCCATGGATTCTTGTGCTTGGCGGGGGAATTCGTCGTCGTCATCGTCAACCCTAGCTGCCGCTGCCGCTGCCGCGGCTCCATCCCCCTGGAAAATCTCATACCTCGCGAGAGCATTCGGTGGACGCGCTGGAGAAAGAAACCCTCTCTCTCTCTCCCGAGGCGCGCGCGTTCTTCTCCGATAACTTAGAAGATAGTGAAGACCCAGGGAGGAATATTCCAGTTTATTTTATGACGTACACAAAGAAATGGTTAAAATATAGACCGTCTTATCTTCCCGTTTAAAAAAACTATTAGCATCCGATCTGCCGGAATCGAACCAGCGACCTAAGGATATCAGTGTACACTACAGTCCTCCGCTCTACCAACTGAGCTAAGATCGGTTCTTATGCTGAAGAGATGTAAATTATGCCAATAATTATAGTTAATGTTTAAAGGTAACGAGGCTCAACCCTAAGCACAGTTGGATATGGCGGGAGTAGTGGCTGGGCATGGCGCACTCCCTCTCACGCGCGCTAATCCAGCTCCAGGGAAATTAGGGTGCCACAAGATCACCATAGCTATGGCATCGCACAATGCGAGTCTCGATAAGAGGAATCCAGCCCTGGTGATCAGTCGTCGAGCGGCATTCTCCTCGGCGGCAATGCTTTCGCTGCCGCTCCTTGAGGCAATTCTTTCGCGCAAGGCGGCGGCATTGATCGAGGCCGACGATGACGAGGAGCTTCTGGAGAAGGTCAAGGGGGATCGGCAGAAGCGGCTGGAGAAGCGAGAGACTTTGATCGGTCTCAAGGATGAAACAGGTGGGTTTCTTTTCTTGTTCTTGAGTTTTGGAGATGTTCTTATATGTTTCATGTGTAGCCTATGTCCAGAATGCTGTATACCAGATGAGCAAAGCTGGGCAAGCCATCGAGAAGGACGATTTTGTGGAAGCCAGCAACATCCTTGGAGCTGCTGATTGGGTGTCCAAGACTAAAGAGGCATTTTCCAAGGTTTGCGGAAGAACACAAGATCACAAGTCGAGCTTTACGTGTTTATATTCAATGCAGGTGAGCAAGAATTCCGAGCAACAAGGCCAAGCGGAGATCTTCACCTCTTCTCTACAAACACTCCAAACTGCTGGTAACGCTAGACTTTTTCAGAAATTCTCGCAAGCTTTCTAACACCTTTGTGTTGCTTCGCAAAGTTTCAAACAAGGATGGACAATCGGCCAAGGTCGCGTTTTTCACCTCCGCGACAGCGCTTGAAAAGTGGACGAGTTTGACCGGACTCACGGAACAAATCAAAGGCCTGTAAATCTATGGATCCTTCAAAGCAAAGTGTCGAAAGCTAAGTTTTTTCTCGCACTGTCAGTTTACAACGAGGAGTCTGGCTTTCGTGGAGAAAGATAAGTGGCTCGAGCTCATCGCGCTGGCTTCTACGCGCATCCAACAAGCTCGTCCATGTAGCATGGTCGGGATCAAACGGCATGGTTTTGAGCAAACTCTCGGCCTCCTCCACCCTGCCAGCTCGGCCCAGGAGATCAACCATGCTGTTGAAGTGCTGAGCACTCGCAGCCACTCCAAAGTCCTGCTTCAGCGACACAAAGTTCTTCCAGCCTTGATCCAGCAGCCCCAGGTAACAACACGCAGCCAGAGCTCCAAGGAAAGTCATTTCATTCGGTTGCTCGCCGTCCATCTTCATCCTCGAGCAGGCTTCCAGTGCTGACGCCGCAAAGCCACTGCAAGCGTAGCCTTGCACCATCGCAGTCCAGGACACAGAGTTCTTCATCGGCATTGCCTCGAAGAGAAAGCTTGCTCGGGCCAGATCTCCGTTTTGAGCGAAGGCTTGCAACATGATCGTCCAGCTTACAACGTCCCTCTCGGGCATGGCATAGAAAGTCTCCATGGCCTGGCTGATATGCCCATTCAGCGCATATCCCCTCACCATGGCTGTCCAGGATACCAAGTTTGGAGTGGGCATTTGGTCGAAGATGGCTCTGGCGTCGTCCACGAATCCACTCAGCGCGTAAGCATTGAGGAGAGTTGTGCTGGAGACAACGTTGGTTCGGGGCATCTTCTGGAACAAGCACACGGCCTCTTCGATCCGTCCGTGGAGAGCATACCCCTGGAGCATCGCGTTCCAGGCTACCAAGTCACGCTCTAGCATCGAGTCGAACAAGCTCCTGGCTTCTTTCAAGTCGTCACCTTGGATGTATCCCTGGATCATCGTCGTCCAGGACGTGAGGTTGTGCTCGGGCATGGCGTCGAAGATCTCCCTGGCTTTCTTCAAGCACCCATTGTCGAGGCAGGCCTTGATCATCACGGTGGACGAGACTAGGGATGTCTCGGGCATCGTCTCAAACACCTGAGTCGCCATGTCCATGAGGCCGGCATTGGCATAAGCAGTGATCATACAAGTCCATGAGAGCTCGTTCCTCTCCGGCATCTTGTTAAAAACTCTCTCGGCCTCTTCCAGGTCCCCATTGTTTACGTAGCAGGAAACCATTGTCGTCCACGAAACCACATTCTTGAATGGTGTGCTCTCAAACAGTCTCCTTGCCTCGACAATCTTCCCGTTTTTGCCATGCAGCCAAACAATGGCATTCCAAGACATAACGTTTTTCTGTGGCATCCTCGAAAAGAAAAGCTCTGCCTGGAGTAATTCCCCAGCATCAACATAAGCTTGCAGCATCAAGTTCCAAGTCACTGCGTTTTTGTAAGGCATGAGCTCAAACGTACGCCTAGCCTCCTCCAAATGGCCATTTTTGGCAAATGCGGTAACCATAGTGTTCCAAGCTACGACATTTCTTTCTGGCATTATTTCGAAAAGAGAGATTGCCTCGCACATCTGACCAGATTTTATGTAGGCATTTATCATTATGTTCCAGGAAACCATGTCCTTTTCGGTAAATCTATCAAATGCTGCCTTTGCTGCCTGAAGATGCCCATTTCGGGCATATGCAATGATGAGAGCGTTCCACGAGAAGTGATTGGGATCTTGTATGGAATCAAACGCCAGCTTTGCGTTCTGTGAGCTGCCACATGTTCCATACATCTGGATGAGCAGATTTCCAAGGTACCTGCTTGCTTGGTGCTCTGTCTGCAGGATCAAATAGTGGATGTTCTTGCCGTCTCTCAAGTTGCTGCATGTTCGTAAATTTTCCGCGAGCTGTGCTTCCAGTGCCTCAGAGGCAGTGAATGGAGTTCTGCCCAAGTCTCTCAGCTCAACTATAGACATGGTACATTCCCTTCAACACTTTGTGGTGATAATCTGGTGATAGTCTTATTTCCTTTATTAAATTTAATGTTCATGAATTAAGTCTGCTTTAAGGGCTCAAGGTTATACATTTTTACCATAACGGTATAAATCAAGCTTTCTTCTATACATAGTTTAGATGTAAATAATATATAGGAAAATTGATAAGGATAACTAAGACACTTTATCTCTCTCTTCAGCAATTGTTTGATAAGGATGTATATTCTCCAATATCCAACATGATTATATTTGCAACAATATTGAGCAAATTATTTATTATTTATTATCCATCACCAGTTTTTCTTTTGTAAATGGGTTGTTTTTATGTTCAATAGTGACTCTTTTACCTCCAAATAACCTATTTTCTGTTGTTTCATTCACCTTTCATAGATTTTTATCTTCCAAATAACCAGTGTTGTAGTTTCAAAGCCTTAGTAAACTTTCACTTTGCATTTTGATTTTTCCTTCTTCCTTGCATTTCCTTATATTTATTTCAATTATTCTTAAAAAATCCTTGTAACAATAGTTTGATAATACTTTTTTCAAAACCTCTTTCATAATTATTTAATCACTAAAGTAAAAATTAGTAGTCGGGAAAAGCATATAACTTTGCAAGTGAATCAAGCTCCTTAAACGGTTTAAGGATCCATTTATTACCTTTTGTATTATATAATACTAATACAATTGTTTTAATATAACATGAAGGACAATTTAATTCAGTTGATCGCCACTACATCCATTTGTAGCAACTAATAAAACTTCTTTTGCAATGGCAATTTAATTTCTCACAAGAATGTAATGATTTCTTTAAATAGAGTGTTTATTAATCCATCTTTGATAGAGATAAATTTCAAATACTTATCACAGTCTCACATGCTTAAAGAAATTTAATATAGATGTGGTAAAAAAGAAAAATATACAAACCTTCAAAATAGATATGATTATTTTAAGCATGATTATTTTAATTAGCCCTTTTGCATGATTTTACTTTCAAAGATTTAATTAAAAGTTATTACTGGCTATCAAAAGGTACAAATCAGATAGTTTTATAAGGTATTATATCCTAAATACTCTTTTTTATGTAAAAAGATAAAGCTGTAAAATCACATATTTTTATTTAATAAAACTCATCTTTTAAATATAAAAGAAAATTAGCAATGAAAAAATGGAAGTATCACCTTAATCACAATTTGTGTGTAATTATGTAATATGTTTACAGTTAACAAATGGTTCTCATGTATCTTTACTTTATTAGCTATTATATTTGATGTTAATGTCAAATATTGTTATTATATTACTTGATAAGTCTCATATATTTGTTTCACGTTACGCATTGGGTTTACAAAGTTTATAACTTATTTTTTTAAAATTAATAAAGTTAATTCTTCTTTGACTTGATCATTATAGCTTTTAATTGCTCCTTTACTTACTTCTTTCTCATGCACCATTTCTTATGCTCATTAAATATTGAAAATAATATTTAATTTTATAATTATTAATTTCCTTTAAATTTATAGTTTTTAAATTGAGTATTTTTCTTTTAAATTTTTTTATTTATTTATATTATAAAGTCATGAGTTCTAACCATGTAACAAAATTATAGAATAAAAGTAAAATAAAAGTTACCAACTATAGTATTTAAATTTTCACTATTTCATTTAGATAATATGACTTAATTATTGTTTTTAATAATTATTTAATTTTCTGTTTACTAATTTATATATAGTTTATCAATATATTTAAAAACCTTTAGAAAATAAAATATTATCATTATAGCACTTTTTATAAATAAAATATAAAGATTAAAAGTTATTTATAATATAATAGATATTATGATAAAGTTATATTTAACACCAAAAATAGTAATATAGCTTATATTCAATAATAATTAAAATATATATGTATTTTTATTATTACTGCTTGAGTTCTTCTTCACTCCACAAACGTCCATAGAAAACATTGTAGTAATATATAAAGTCCTCAAAAGATGGAATGATATAGAAGTTAACAGTTTTAAAAAACTGTTGTAACAATAAATTATTAATGACTTTTGTCTAATTCATTAAGTTCGTGTATTTAACAACAACATTATATTTTATTTTATTTGCTAGTTGTATAAAATAATCAAATTTTTAAATTTTTACATGATTTTCGCAATTATTTACAAAACTCATTTATAGGTTATCCATTGTTTTAGGGGTACAGATCTAATCAAAATTAGAAATAACAAGCTTTTAAGTTTGTTTTATTTTACATTTAAAAATGAAATGAAATGGGTGCAGATTTTTTATAAAATCAACTATATGCTAGCTGTTAGTGGTTTTGGAAATAAGAAATATTTTGAAAGGTTTTAGATTTGGTAGAAAAAATATAGCCAATATTGTATAAAACTTATGCCAGAAGACCCTAACACCATTCAGGCCTGAATGTTATGGCTGAAAAAATTGGTAGTAGTTTCTAGCATTATTTCAGTGATGCTACTAGACTAAAGGGGATCACGTGATATCTATCTGCTGTTCGTGCCATAGGCTGAACATAGGATGATTGGACAAAGCAAATAGGAGCTTATTCATCTAAAAAAATGAAAGCATTAAAACTACAACATGATAAAATCGATTCATAAATACATTCACACAAGATAGCTTCATCTATATACGTAGTTTAGTACTTACAATAAATCAGACAAGAAACAGAGGAAAGGTGGAGCTCATTGTCGCTGGGGATCTTGTCACTCCCATTGTAGATCAACACTGAAAGTGAGACGTGAAATTCATGCAAGCAGTGACGAACACTTTCCTTGAGTAGAAATGCATGCCTCAGTGTCTCCACCAAAACATTGCGGGGGAGCTGAGAGGATTCCCATAGAAAGGCTTCACCTCGGCATCCCAAGAGAAATCCACAGTTGACCCAGATCCCCCAAAGAGATGGGCATTTGCTGCTGGAGGGAGCTTTTGTCGAGCAGCTGAAACTTCTTCTCAAACTCGCGCATCCGCGCCTAGCACTCATGATCTGACCACGCATACCAGTGATCGTCACTTAGGTTCGGTGCCCCATCATTAACCGCGTGGTGGCAATAATTCCCATGCTCCCGAAAGCACCCGTGATTTTTCATGGCCCAGATGACGCGAAAGAGGTTGTTCTTTGCTGATCACCACCTTTTTGGAGAAGCCGGCTTGGTCCTATACATGAGTTTCTCTCCTACAAGCAATTGTCATATCGCCATCCAGCTTTAAGAGTCCAGCGTTTTCACCCTCCTGGGATTCTCCTCCTCGCTCGAGAGATTCCAGCGAGTACACCTCGAAGGGATCTTTTCAGCCAAAGCCTTGTTTCGCTCGCCCCTGCCGAGATGCCGATGCTCACGCTTGAGAGCGCATAGAAATTCATGGCCTAAAGAGTAAAAAGTGAGAGAACCAAGGTGTCGTCCAAGTCCACAAACACGGCCATGATTGGATTAAGACTGCGCCATCTAAATAAAACAATTAATCATACATTTTATATAAACAATCCATTTTTCTGGAACATTCTAGCTCTAGAACGGAATGGCACTCGCAACCCGCGGGTACACCACTCTCACCGGATGCCCCATGATCCTGCGCCCCTTGAAGTGGCGAAACGGATAGATGATCGCTCCCACGGGCCACTCCACCACAGCCGCGATCGCAAACGCAACAAATCCTAGCGTCGGCCCGACTACCTTGACATGGCAAGGATTCTGCCGAGTGCCGCACTCCACACAAGTCGGGACCCTGTGCCTGCGGGTCGTCACTGTTGCCATTTCCACCCACTAGATTGATCGCTGCTGGCGAAATTCCTGGATCGAAGAAATCCCTCACAAACTTCACACTCGCACACTGCACAAGACTCAAAGAGACTTTCAGAGAAAAAATTTGAAGATCTTCCAAATGGGGCCTTGTTTTATACGCAATGAGATTGCTCTACGTGTAAAGGTCGCTGGTGTAGCGCTAACACTGCCACCTGTCGCGTGCATCGTGGCAACTCATCCTCGCGCCAAAGTAGCTCTAAGAATGTTCTAGCGAGTTTAAAATTAGGGCAAATGGCCCGCCTTCTCGGGAGCGCTGCACCACCGCCCTCTTGGCGGCACGGCTCTTCTCTAGGGCAAGAAGAGACGTCCATGCCACTGTGTCTGGCTCGAATGGCATCGTCTGGATCAGCTCCTCGGCCTCGCCCAATCGCCCGTTGCGCGCGAGCACATCCAGCATCGAGTAGAAATGCTCCACCCGGGGATCCTCCAGGCCGTGATCCGCGATCATCGACACCAGGCAGTTCCTCGCGTTGGCCACGACCCCGACGTGATTGCAAGCGGCAAGCACGCCCACGAATGTGGCTTGATCAGGCCGGACGCCCTCCACCACCATCGCGCCAAAGAGCTCCAGAGCCTCGCGGCTATGCCCGTTGTGAGCATAGCCCTGGATCATCGCGTTCCATCGCACGGGGTCTTCGTCCTGGGATGAGTCGAAAATGGTTCTTGCTCGATTGAGATTGCCTTGCCGGGAGTAACCCACGATCATCGACGTGCACGATACCACATCCGGCTGTGGCATCGTCTCGAATAAGAAGCGCGCTTGATCTAGATGACCCAGCTCCACAAATCCATCGATCATCGTGTTCCAGGAAGAGGAGCTGCGATCCGCCATTTCATGGAACAAGATCTGTGCCTCCTCCATCCTCCCGCTGCGCACGTATGACGCGATCATCCCATTCCACGCCACAACATCGCGCTCGGGCATCCGATCGAAGAAATCTCTCGCGGAGTCCGGGCGTCCAGCACGAGCCAAGGCCGCGATTGCGGCAGTCCAGGACACCACATTCCTTACCGGCATGCGATCGAACAGTGCCACTGCTTGATCTTCGATACCAATCTCGGAGTAAGCGGTGATCATCGCGTTCCAGGCCGCAAGATCCCTCGCTGGCATCGTGTCAAATACTTGCCTCGCCTGTGCCATGTCCCCGGCCTTGGCATTTGCGACCAGAACCGCTGTCCAAGCCCCGGGATTGTGCTCCGGCATTCGATCGAAGAGATCTTTTGCTTCCTCTAGTTTCCCGTGATGTGCGTAGATGGTGATCATCGCGCTCCACGAAACCAAGTTCCTTGATTGCATTCCATCAAAGATCTTCCTGGCGCTGGAAAGATCCCCTAGCCGGGCATAGCCGCAAAGCATCACTGTCCACGCCACGAGATTCAATTCGGGCATTTCCTCGATGATATTTCCGGCATTGCAGAGATCTCCCCTCTCGCAATAGGCCTGAAGAATCACCGTCCATGCCATGATGTCTCGATACGCCATTCCGTCAAAGAGATCCCTCGCAAGACCAAGATGCCCTCTTTGGGCATACGCGAGGATCATTGTCGTGATCGCGACGATGTCGAGCTCTGGCATGCGATCAAACAGGGTCTTGGCGCGATCGAGATCTCCGGAAAGGATGTGGCCCCTGATAATGGCATTCCACGAGACGATGCTTGAACTAGGCGAGTTTTCGAGCAAGCGTTCGGCCAAGAGAAGTTCCCCATTCGCAGCAAGCATTGCAACCTCAATGTTCCTGGTGTAATCATTCGGCTGCTTGATGCGATCGATCACACCCCGCGCGGCATCGATGCTGCCGCATTTGCCAAACATCTCGGCCGCGAGATTGAGGAGGTAAACATCCTCCCTATAGATCGAGGAAGAGATAAGCGCGGAGTGGATTTGCCTGGCTTTTGTCAGGTTTCTAGCAACTGTGCAAGATCGCAAGAGCTCGACGACCTCAGTTCGTGGAAGATGGTCCAGACGGAGCTCCATTCTTCCTAGATCATCAGAAGAACTCACAGTCATGGCCTTGAGAGAGGGATCGAAGTGGTCCATGCTGGGGAATCCGGCTCGAAAGGCATTGCTTCCAAGAGATCTTCCACTGCTTTGGCCTGGCCGGCTCGCGAGAAGGAATCGAGCACGCAAGTGTAGTGCTCCTTTATGGGAAGAATGTAGTGATCGCTTCTCATGGAGAGGAAGTAGTGGCAAGCCTCGCGCACAAGCCCGGCATGGCTACAGCCGCTAAGTATGTTTGCAAAGGTTTGTTCTCGCAGTTCTAGACCTTGGAGATGCATCCACCGATAAAGCTCCAGCGATTCTTTCCCTTGCTTGTTCTTGGCGAGAGCTTGAACCATTGTGGTCCAGGAAACCACATCTCTCTTGGGCATTCTCTCGAAGATGGTTCTTGCAATCTCGAGCTTTCCAGCGTCTGCAAAAGCTTGGAGCATGCAAGTCCAGGAGACGACGTCCTTGCCTGGGCTCGCGTCGAAGATGGATTTTGCGTCCTGGAGATGCCCTTTTTGGGCATACGAGACCGTAACCATGGTCCATGACAATGGGCTTTTCAGTGAGAACCTCTCCAGCAATGCCGCTGCCTCGTCCATATACCCGTGCTGGGCATATGCCAAAACCAGCGCCGAGCATGATGCTTCGTCCCATTGTGGCATCGTGTAGAAAACGTCCACTGCCTCTGCAAGATGCCCATTTTGGGCGTAAGCGAGCAGCATGGCGGTGAATGCGAGCTTGTCTAGCTGCAAGGAGCTCTCAAACAACTTTCTACACTTTTCAAGATCGCCACTCTCGGCATAGGCGTTCATCATCGTCGTGATCGAATTTAAATCGAGCTCCGGCATCTTTTCTAGAAGTGCCTCAGCTTCACTAAGCTTATGGCGCTGGGAATAGCCCGAGAGAATGCTGTTGAATGACACGAGATTGTGTTCCGGCATTGAGAGCATGATGTTCTTCGCAAGTCCTACTTGCCCTCTCGAGGCAAATCCTTCAAGGATGAGGTTCCAGGAGACGATGTTTTTTTGGGCCATCAAATCAAACCATGCTTTGGCTTGGTTGATTTCCAGGCCAGCGAAAGCTTTGAGTATTGTGTTACAAGTAACCACGTCTATCTCTACCATGCCATTGGCAAATTCCAGCGCTTTGTCCAGATGACCAGTTTGGGTATATGCGGATACTAAGGCATTCAAAGCCACGACGTTGTGCTCCGGCATTCCATCAAACACCTGCTTTGCCTTCTCGACTCGATTAGTGCGGGCATATCCAGCCACCATACTGCCCCACGAAAAGATACTCCGGCACGGCATGCGCTCAAACACGTCCTCGGCATCACCCAAATGCCCACATCGAATGATCGCCGCCAGGAAGATGTTCCAGGAGTGCTGGTTTGGCTCCTCGATGCTGCCGAAGACCGCTCTCGCGCGATCGAGGCAGCCAATCCGCCCATACATCTCCACGACAAGATTGGAGAGGTAGACATTCTTCCCGTGAGTGCTGCTTCCAGCGATCTGGGAATGGAGCCAGTCTCCTCGGTGGGCATCGCAGCACTCCCTCAATTGGCGCGCAAGAGCTTCACATTGCATAGGAAAGAAAGAAGAAAAGTGGATTCGCTTTGATTGTGGAAACTATACAGTAAAAGGAAGGATCACTATCCCTCCGTTCTTTCAAGTCTGGGATCTGTGATTTAAAAGGGAATAGCGCTTGAGACACGAGGATACACCACTCTCATCGGATGCCCGATCATCCTGCGCGCCTTGATGCGGCGAAACGGGTACATGATCGCTCCCACGGGCCACTCCACCGCCGCCGCGATCGCGAATGCCACAAATCCAAGCGTCGGCCCAATTACCTTGACATGGCATGGATTCTGCCGAGTGCCACACTCCACACAAGTCGGGATCCTGTGCCTGCGAGTCGTCACAGCTGGGGTGGTCGTCACTGTCGCCATACTTCCTTTCCGAGAAATTGAGAAGAAGAAACAGACTTTTTCTGTTCACTTGGAACTCTATATGTTTGTCTGTCTTCCACTTCGAGCCGTTGTTTTATACTCCGTGGGATGCCACCACGTGTAGCAATTGCGGAGCACCAGTTGCTAGCTCGAGACAGGGCCACCTGTCTCAGCTGCCACTACTTGGAATCGCAGCCGTCCACATGCCAACTTGATGGGATGCTCGAAGTTTGAAATGCGTTTGCGCCCCTAAGTCGCATTCCATCTCTCGTTGTAATGCTAGAGTATAAGTGGGTTTAGACAGGTCTAATTAACGTTATTTATCACAAACTTTATACATATAATAAGCAATAGAAAGATCAAGACAAATAAAACTGGATTATCAACGGCGGGATTGTAAAATGAGATTTGGAAATATTGCAAATAAATAATATCTTTAAAGGCTTGTCATGGTGTAAGATAAGGTGCATTACATTCCTATTAGCTAAATACCTCTTTCCTTTCTTCCAGCTCCAGATTTACAGCAGCTCTTCTCTTCAACTTTAGCACTTCCTGTTAGCCTGTTGTTGCTCTTTTAGATTTCTTACAAATTACATATATATATATATATATATATGCTAATTAGTAGTACTATCATCCTTGTGATGAGAAATCCACTCTAATGTAGTCTCATCGGCTGATCATGGGCCAATAAATGGGCAATGCAGCCATACAGCAAATGGGAAATTTTGTGAGAAAGGAGCTTAGTGTGAACTGGAGCTCGATTTGCTAGCATAAATTTCTTTGTGTAGTGTAATTTATTATCTTGCACATGCATGTTCACATATATATTCTATAAAACATGTAAGGCCACGTAGGATGGGCAATATATGTTTTGGACAACTATGCTAAGTTAACTTTTGCATATATTAATTCACAATTGCCAATGGTTGGAATGTTGTCTTTATTAGTACCAGCTCATAAAGGTATAAAGAGAAAAGAAAGTCAATGGCCTTATGACTTGAGTTTCAAACTTGAATCATAGATATTTAATTTGAGTTATACCTTTCATTTTTTTCTCATAATAACACATAGTAGGATATCTTAGTGTTGTTATGATTACTCATGCTTTGGTTTCCTGGATATACAAGATAAGCTTAATTTGATAAATGTAAATATGAATCAAGCTTCTAAAAGGTTGGCTAAGGAGTATTATAGTTCGAAGTTAGTGCAAGCTCTTCTATAATTATCTCAAAGAAAGTATCGTAGGTTTAGACCATTTCTTAGCTTGCTAAGCCATTATAGACTTTGTATTCATTTTGTCCAAACATATTCTCTTTTTTCCTACACTTATTCAGTATAAATTGTCAGTATCATTGTCACTTAAGAATAACAATGTCAGACTTTAACTCCCCATTTCGTAGCAAGTCTAAAAGTTGTCTTCAATTTCACCTAGAAAGGCCTGAAATTTCAACAGATAGAGAAGGCAGACCAAGGCATTTCGGCCCCAAAACTCTAGACCAAGGTGTTCACGAAGGATAAACTCATTGGTTTTGGTGGCTTGTTTTTGAATGTTGGTTTGCCATAATATTCTTTAATCTTGTAAATTTCAGCCTGGCATATCTAGCAAGTTTTTCAGATTATATAAAATTAACTAAAGATGATACCACTAGCTAATTTCTCTAATAAATGATGAAAGCTTGAGACGATTTATCATAAGCTACTTTAAGGAGTGAGATCAAGGTGAAGATAATACTTTTGCTTCACGTAAATGGAGATTACGGGTAGCTTGCATAATCTCAGACCTTCGAGATGCATCCATCTAGTGATTCGTTCCCTTGTTTGTTCTTGGCGAGAGCTTGAATTATTGTGGTCCAGGAAACCACATCCCTGTTGGGCATTCTCTCGAAGATGGTTCTTCCAATCTCGAGCTTTCCAGCGTCTGCAAAAGCCTAGAACATAGGGGACGACACCGGGTTACGTCGAAGCTTCCTGGATTTGGGCATACGAGACCTCCACGACAATGGGAACCCCTCCAGTAATGCCGCGGCCTCGTCCATATACCGTGCTGGGCATATGCCAAGACCAGCGCCGAGACCACGTCCACTGCCTCTGCAAGATGCCATTTCGGAGCAGCATGGTGGTGAATGCGAGCTTGTCTAGCCGCAAGGAGCTCTCAAACAGCTTTCTACACTTTTCAAGATCGCCACTCTCGGCATAGGCCTTCATCATCGTCGTGATCGAATTTAAATCGAGCTCCGGCATCTTTTCCAGAAGTTGCTCTCAATGCCGGAACACAATCTCGTGTCATTCAACAGCATGCTTTATCCAGCATATGCTCGATTATTGCGGGCATATCCAGCCACCATACTACTCCACGAAAAGATACTCCGGCACGGCATGCGCTCAAAACACGTCCTCGGCATCACCCAAATGCCCAATCGAATGATCACGCCAGGGAGATGTTCCAGGAGTGCTGGTTTGGCTCCTCGATGCTGCCGAAGACCGCTCTCGAGCGATCGAGGCACCCAATCCGCCCATACATCTCAACGAGAAGATTAGACATTCTTCCGGTGAGTACTGCTTTCAGCGATCTGGGAATGGAGCCAGTCTCCTCGACGGGCATCGGAGCACTCCACAATAGGCATAGGAAAGAAAGAACACTTTGCTTTGATTGTGGAAACTCTACAGTAAAAGAAAGGATCACTCCTCCATGAGGACATCCCTCCATTCTTTCTGCCCGCCCGGAAAGTGGAGCGTGGGAGATCTATGATTTAGAAGGGAATGGCGCTTGAGACACGAGGATACACCACTCTCATCGGATGCCCGATCATCCTGCGCCCCTTGATACGGCGAAACGGGTACATGATCGCTCCCACGGGCCACTCCACCGCCGCTGCAATTGCGAATGCCACAAATCCCAGCGTCGGCCCGATTACCTTGACATGGCATGGATTCTGCCGAGTGCCGCACTGCACGCACGATGGGATCCTGTGCCTGCGAGTGCGAGTCGTCGCTACTGGAGTAGCGACGTGAGTAGTCCCCAATGCTCTCGCCATTTGATCAATGCTCTAGAAATAAGAAACGCAAACTCTTTCCACTTCGCACTTTGTCTGCTTTTTTGAGCTGCTCTTTTGTACCGTGAGATGGCACCACGTGTAGCAATTGGCGAACGCCAGTTGTTAGCTGGAAAGAGAGCCACCTGTATCTCATGCCACTGCTCTGAATCGCAGCCGTCCACATGCCAACTTCGATCGGACGCTCGAATTTGTCTAAGTCGCAGACACCGAGTGTAGTCTTTCTTCTCAACTGCATAGCCATTCCATCATTTAGAGTAGGAGTATATATTCTTGGATTTGGAAGAGTTTTTCATAGCAAAAGATCAACCAAATTGTTCATGGAACTATAACTAAACTAGACACACAAAAATCAACATTAAAATGAAAAATCACAACCATTAGATTAAAGAATATTTTAGATACTTTAAATATGCTTTACAAGAGAGAGTCGCTCATGCTCTACTCTTCTCAACATCAATAAGTGAGTGGAAGAGTTGATTGACAGAGAGGAGAATGTTTTTGCTTTATTCTTGCATCTTCTTGCAAGATAGTGATGGTAAGCTTGTTTTATTTCTTTGCTTCATGTTCTTGCATTGTAAAAAAGAAATATAAAGTGTTCTGAGAATTTAACTGTTCAAAAAGTATTTTATGGAAAAGCAACAAATCTAGATGGCTTTAGCCATGAAATGTTTTTACTTTACTTTATAATTCTTATCATTTTTAAATTTTAAACAGAATTAATTCCCATTCAAACAATTATTAAGCAACTATTCAAGCCACTTTAAAAGCTAGTTTCAAGAAGCCAATAAATCCAAATAAAAAAATACCTTGTTCCTTATTTTATTTGATGGATTTAATGGTGACACTGCGCTTCCAAAAAATTCAATGTCTTTAGAATTGATCTGGAAAAAGGCTTTAGAATATAAAAGAAGACAAAAAAACAACTATAACTCACTCACGCAAGTTCTTGTTTTTTAGGCTCAAATATTTCCACTAGTATATGTAAGGCTCTGGGGGTATGTTGCAATGCATCATCAAATACCATACAACTAAAAACATGCTTTATTTTGTTAAAGTGGGACTTTTCATTATCCCACTTATGGTGTGTGGCCACATGTCATTTTTATAACAACAATAAAAAATTGAAGTTTTAACTTTATAATTTATAAATTAAAAACTTTTCATATGATTTTGTGTTATAATATTGTGAAATATAAAAAAATAAATTAAAAAACTGATAGAAATATTAATAAATATTAATTAAGTACTAAGAAATGGCATGTGGACACATGCTAATTAATGTCCCACTTTACTGAATAAGTCCCACTTTAACGAAATAAAGCATAAACCTGCAATATAAATTATGGATATACCAATCCTTTGGATTTAGTTCCTTTTCTATCTCTAAGTTTTCTATAACTTTCTTGTGATATTAAATAACTCACTTCCATAGGAGTTTATTCTTCTAGAATGGCATATATAAAAATTGAAAAACCAAAGATAATTTGAATTGAATTCACAAAAAAAAGGTGTTTTGCCAAACTTGGTTCAAAATTTAAAAGACTTTGTCAATTCAGCTTATTAAATAAGCCTTTTT